TTATATGAATTTTTTGTATAAAATAAAAAAAGTATATAGATTCACTTTTAATTAATTTTTACATTACTAATACATACATAACTCTAATCAGCTATAAGGTTTCGTTTACTCATTAACGTATATAGCTATTTCATAAATTTCACAAAAATAATTTTGTAACATCATTTTATTTGTAGTTTTAGTTTATTTTTTATAATTATATTTTGATATGCTTGATCACTAATATATAAAGGGTGTAAGTTTAGAATTTTTATAACATAAGATGATCTATTTGTGACTTTGTCAATATAGTATATGAATGTCTACTGTAATTAATTCTTGATTTTATAACAAAAAGTCCATGAAGAAGAATTTACCAATGTTTAAACTAAAATTATGTCACATTCGCTCACGTGCCGTTTATACTAAAAATTATCACACTTGTTCATGGATCAAGATTCTATTTGGCAGAGAATTAGTAAAATTAGTATTTTATAATTTTCAACCAAAAGCTGACTAAACCTTATTAGTCAAAATATTTTTACAACTGTTATTTATTATAACGACATTTCATGATAACAATTTAATTCTCTCTAAAATTGATTTTTCATGTTATATTTTACTTATGAATGATAATATTCTACTTATAGTAATAATATAAGTCATTGTAGTAGTACACTCTTTGTAAAATTACATCTCTATAACATCTAAACTCAAATATTATATAATTGTATTTTGTAAGAAATAAATTATATATAAATTAAAATATCGATGATAATCGTCATTAATGTCATGCACATAGTAAAATTCAAGTACGAATATCTAAAAAAAAAATTATATGTAAATAATGTTCGTTATCGATTATGATCGTAACTTCAAAAGAAAATATTAATAATATTTGCCCTTTTAGATATATATTTTTTCTATTGTCTTTTATTAAATTGGTTAGCAAATACGGTTTTTTTTTTTGCTACACAAAATTATTAAACTTTTTTTTCCCCATATTTTTGTTTATATTAGCTAAATAAGATATAAACATCAAATGCTACCATACATATATAATAACACCGCATTATGATATTCATGATATATTAAGATAAACATTGTCAATATATAGAGGTTGACCGTTGTATTATGTGATGTATTTTTACTTGTTTATTTAAAGTTTTAATTTGGTACAAAACTGAAATAAAATGATATTCTTTTTCAAGCTAAAGTATGTGAAACTTGTTATAAAATTAATATTTATGAATATTATATTTTTATGGTTAGTCTTGCAAACTTGTCATCTGGATCATTCGATTTGATGACTTCACTTTTTTGTCTTCAGTTTGGGTTTGAAATAGTTTTTTTTCCTCATCTGATGTTCGATATTATCATTGGAGCCCGGCTAAATATAAATTCATGTTGTGAAAGTCCCACATTGAAAGGCTATAGCGCACCCTAACAAAAACAAATTCATACCTAGAAAACATCTGATTAAAAATGAAGGAGTATTTATCACTCCACCAGAATCCTTGGTGGTTACTAAATCTGTTCACTTCACTTGTCTTATCATAGAAATTTATTTTATTTTAATTTGATTTTTAATATTAATTACTTATTATGTGTTTATAGGAGTATTATTTTTAAGAGATGTGCAAAATTTAAAGCGATCAAATAAATAGTGAACCCAAAAGCAGATGAAATGTTCCCAAACACACCCCATGTGGACGCTCTAACGTTAGCGTTACGTTTTGTTGGGGTGACAACTAGGCAAAGACTTTCTTTTTAGGGTGTGTTTGCCGTGGAAAATTCCTTCTCAAAAACATATACAATAATATATCTTTTTTCTTTTAGGTATTTAGCAATTACACAAAAAAAAGTATTATACTAATATTCATATATGTGTAATCTATGTAAATACTATGAGGGTGAGTAATGATAGCGAGGTGGTGAGGACCAAGTGAAATAATCAACATAGAATATCTCTGATAAAACTTGTTCTTTTCGTTACATTTTGATTATTAAGAGACATATTTTTATTATTATTATTTTCAGTAAGAGACATATTTTAAAAAATATATATTTTAATTTGCCAAAAAAGGATAAATTGTAAAAAATAAAATAAAATTATGAGGGAAAAGGACTTGTGGGCAAGGCAAAGTTGGGTAGGTGACTTTAGTTAAGCAGCATGCCAATTTAATTAGTTCCAACTTCTTTGACGGGACTAACTTTTAGGTCGATTACTACTAAGTACTCCCTCTGTTCCTAATTAATTACTCGTTCTTTTTTTTTTAGTTGTCTCTAATTATTTATTTATTTTGACAAACTAAGAAAGGACAAACCTATTATACCCGCTCAATTAATTACTTTAAAAAAATAGAATTTCTTGAAAATCTTAAGTTCTTAATTCGTCTATTTCATATTTAATAGGGGTAAAATGGTTAACTTACTATATCAATTATTGTTTTCTTAATAGGTGTGTCAATTCAAAAGTGAACAAGTAATTAGGGAAAGAAGAAGTACTATAAAACGTTTATTCGAAATTAAAATTTTAATACCTCGTATTCACACTAATTAAACTTATTAGTTAATAGGAGTACATTTCTTAAGTACTCTAATATATTGAAACTAAAAGTGTACTAAAATATTGATAGTTGCTTAATTATAAGAGACCGTAATTTGAGTATTTTGATAAAATTTAGTGATAAATTTAAGAGGTTGTCGTTTGAAGTTTGCAAACAATTCTAAAAAGCATTTGAAAATTGTGTCATTAGTAGTGCCTTATAACATGTCGTTTGAAGTAGCCTTTTCATTTAATCAATTGTTAATACTATTTTAAATTGCAAAGAAACGTGTTTACATCATATATTTTGATTCGTTCTATTATGGGATAAGAGTCTGAAAAATACTCTAAACTTTGGTCGGATTTGCTGTTGCGATACTAAAGTTTCATGAGGACCTATTACCTCCCTAGACTATTTAATACCGTATTTTTTACCCCTTGAGCTATTTAATAGTGGAATTTAAAGGTATATATGTGCCCACGTGGACACATTACTATTTATAAATTTTGCATTATTTTTTTATGTCCACGTGGGCAAATATATATGTTTAAAATACGGTATTAAATAATCTAGGGAGGTAATAGGTCCTCATGAAAGTTTAGTATCGCAACAACAAATCCGACCAAAGTTGGATATTTTTCAGACCCTTATCCCTTCTATTGTAGTAGAATAATAAGATAAAGAGTAATTAATCCACGAAACTTGTGTGGTATTTATATGATCTTTTTAAAAAAGTTTATCCTGAAATGTCTCAAAAATATTTAATATCAGATTGTCAAAAAAATTATTGGATATACTCTCACAAAATTCAAAAAATTTAACTTTACTAAACTATTCAAAATTCCAATCTTCTTTTTAACCTAAGGTCCAAGGTTGGACCATAGGAATATTTCATTCATAATTTCAAATTTAATACAACATAGAGATTGAGGAACTAGTCCTCTTATCAACTTCAATAATTATCCCACTAAACAAGCATAAATCAAATCTAAATTATGAATACCAAGGAATGCTAAACCAGCTCTCTTTTTTCAATATTTTTACTGTTGCATTGTAAAATAAAATCAAAATAATTTAGAAACATTTTTAATTTATAATATTTTTAATCTTATTTTTAAGTGTGATAATGAACAATGATGAAGATTATGTGAAGAACGAGAATCAAGATTATTTTTCTGAAAGATTCAGGTCAAGAAGAAATTTGTTAGGATTTGTCTTTAATTTTCTACTTTATATGGTATCTATATGCTTTATTTTGAAAGAGCTTTCTTGGTGAAAAATGACTTTTTTATATCTTTTTTTTTTTTTGAGAACTTTCGGACTTTTATAAATAAATAAATAAAAATTCATACAACAACACAACATCCATATAATTAGTCCTTACTATAGCTTGACTTAGGCGAGATTTTTTGTTTTTGTTTTCCACCCGGTGTCTGGTACCATATTGGAGCCTGACTAAATCCGAATTCGCGCCGGGAAGTCCCACATTGAAGGGTAAAGCGCTCCCTAACAAAGACGATTTTGTACTCAAGGGAACTCGAACCCGAGACCTCTTGGTTAAGGGAATAGTACTTACCACTTTCTCATAGTCTTGTACCTTTTGTTTTACGGTGTTTTATGTTAGTTTTCCTTCATATATAGGTCAAATCACCAAACTCATATTAGTAATATGATTTGCTTTGTTAGCTTTGCACAATGTCAAAATCTGATATTCAAAATTTAGATATTTAAATTTGAATATACATTTGAATATTAAGGTATAAATAATAAATTTATTTGTGTAATCAACATATTAATGTATAAAACTTGTCTATACTTAAAACTTAATAAATATAGAATACTAAATTATTTCAATATTATATCAAGAAAGATTTTTTTTACAATAATTATATGGCATTTGGTGGTGATGATAGCTAGAGATAGTAAGTGTGAGTGTCAATTGGTGATGGTGTTGATCGTAGGCAGTAGCTAGTGGTTGACGGTAGTGTTTAATGTGGTTGTTTGATGCTTGTATTAGGAGGTGACCGTTGATAATTAATTTTGATGGATGATTTGCTAATGATGGTGATGAATGATCGCGATAGTTGACAATACATAATGATGGTTGATAGTGATGATTGTCGTTAGCGATTAATGGTGGTTGTGATAATGATAGTTGGTGTTGATGATGGTAAACAGTGCTTAGTACTGGTAATTGGGGATGGTGATAGTAGTTGATAATGACACATAATAGTAGTTGATGGAGTAACGATGAACTATCATTTTTACAGATATATTCACAGTCGATAGTCAAAAAAAGAAAAAAAAACGCTTAATTTTGTAACCAAAATGTTCCCGCGCCAAACAGTTATTATCACCTAACCGAAATTCATTTTTCATTGACTGGTAGTTTCCCTACCAGAACAAAGGCTTCTTCTTCTTTACAACTTCAATCACAAACCATGAAGGACCAACTGAATATTCATCGATCTCATGGAAACACATTCGCATATTCGTGATTTACGCTCACAAAACAGTTCTCTCCTCGCAGAAATCGAGATTCTTCGCTCTTCCAACCAAAACCTCCAATCGGAATTGACGCAAAAGGATGAACTCCTTCACCAAATTCAGTTGCAAAAGGATGATGTTCTCAAGCAATACGTTGATCTCTCGGAGGCCATCAAAGAGGTATCGAAGGAAAGAGACACACTTCTTCTATCGATTCAGAGACTTGAGGATGATTTTAGCCGGAGAGGAATGGAATTTTATGAAGAAACAGAGAGAATTAGAATCAAGCTTGAGGTTTCGAGGAAGAAAGCTGAGGAACTATTAGATGAGAAAAAAGAGCAATCGGAAGTTTGTTCACGTAATTTGGAGATCGTGCAATCAGCGAAGCATGGCTTACTGAGGTTAGTTGAGAATCTCGATTTGTGTGTGCATAGATCGGGAAATTCTGAGTTAAAGCACGAAGAGAAAGACGAAAAAACAAAACTGTTAAACGAAAAATCAGCGGTGTTTTCTGTGGTTCTGGAACTGGTGAATTTGGTGGAGGAAAAATGGGGAGAGTGTGAGGAAATAAGGAAAAAGGAGAAGAGAGAATTGGAGAATAGTGTGGCCAGTTTAGAAGAGGAGAATCGAGATATTAGTAGCTTGCTTAAAATTGCTTTGGTGGAAAAGGACGCAGCGGAGAAGAGTTTGAACAGATTAAGAGGCAATTCTGAACAGAAGAAAGCAGCCATTTTGCAGATTGCAGAGAGAGGGTTGCAAAAGGTTGGCTTTGGTCTCGGGTTCGGGTTTATGATGGGAAGTGCAACCAGTGAAACACCTTCAGATAATCTGGATTCTGATCCCAACGTCAAGTCGGATAATGATGAATGCCAAGAAGCTGTTACTCTGGTAACATTTTTGGCTCGGAGTCCGAGCATCTATACATATATAGGGATACCTTAGATGTGTTTTTGATCAGTAAGTCCAAATTTAAAGATGTAGATGCCAATCTAATCTAGAGCTGAACAGCATACGCGTTCTTATTATGAGTTCAGGACAATTAACAACTTTACATATCAATTGAGCTAATGAATATTAAGATCCCCAGAGGTGCATTATTGCTATTGATCAATGACACTAAATTGAGATTTTAGAAGAGAATGGTTCATCAAGTTGTTATTATCACTCACATACTATCTTGTTCTCTGATTCTGTTACTACATGTTCTTTTTCTTTGCTTCAATTCCCGTAACATGTGTTGCTGCTATTGTTATCTTCTACATTACTGTATTTTCCTTTCCATACGTGAATTTATTATGTTTTACTTGAACCGAAGTAAGGATAAGGCTGCACGCACACTATCCTCTCTATAACCCAACTTATGGGATTACACATGGTATATTGTTGTTGTAATGGTTCATCACCTTGAAGGATACTTTTTTAACAAGCTTGATTGGAAATCACTTGGCATGTTTCTGACACAATGTAATTTATTCATTCATGCTTACCAGGCCTCGACTGTAGAAACAATAATAAAGAAGTTAAGAGTTGAAATCACACAGTTGCAGAGGTCATTGGAGGAATCTAGGTATTCTGCTGGCAAAATGCAGTTTTTATGTTTTTTATTTAGTTATTATCATGTCCACCTTCAAATTCGGTATGGATTTCCTCTAGCTTTTTTCTTATACTTTGTATTGCATGACTGTATCCCACGTAATGTTATATTAGATCAAGTTTGCATAAGATATTACTCCTTTCAAATTTTACAAGTGAAGCTTAGATGGTGAGTGAAAGACATTAACTAAAGGTCTTCTTTAGTTGTGCTAGCCTAGCCCTTCCAAGGAACTTACTGTACCTGAATGAGTCTGTAGTCTTGTGTTTAATTATCTAATAACTGCCAGGTCAGACATGGAGTCTCTACAGCATCTATCAGACAAACAAAGTAAGAAACTAGCAGAAAATATCATATGCATTAAAGAGTTGGAAGATAAAAAGATGATGCTTACTCAAAAGGTTAGTTTCTAACTAAGGTAAGACATAAGAGTTCTTAAGATGTTCTACTGTTGCATACTTTTTCCCTGTTTTGTCTTCCAGGTTGAAGAACTCATAATAGAAAATAAAGAGTCTGAAGAAGAAATTTCTAGATGGAGAGAGGCTTGTGAAATGGAAGTGGAAGCTGGAAAGAAAGCTATTAATGAACACAAAGAACTGGTAAGTTTGCGCGGTCAGTCGAGCTACCTTAACATTTCACAACTCACAAGTAGTTGCTAGAAAGCTAAAGAAAGAAAGAAGGAAAAACGACTAGTCCACCAAATTGCTGCTACATGTACATATCCAAACAAGTAAAAACAATTTCTAATTTGTGTCAGGTCAATATTCTGAAACAAGAATTAGAAAAAACCAGAGCTGCTTTACATATTTCCAATTGCAAGTTGCAGCTGAAAGATGAGATAGAGGCGGCAGCCATCGCAGCCAGGGAAGCAGTTGAGAGATCTCTCCAGCTTGCAGACAGCAGGGCTACTGAGCTACGTAAGCAGATTGAGGAACTAACAAGACAATTAGAAGTAGCAGAGAAAAAGGAACGAATTAATCGTCGTAGAGTGAGGAATGTATGTTGGCCTATGCGAGCTCTCAAGTTCTGCCCTGCTACTAATACAACTGGTATTCGAAATGTTACACAGATGCTACCAGAAATGCACAGATTGTCCGTTAATATTTGAATTTTTTGCCTTTATTTATGTTGTTCAAGAATAATAGTGAAGGAGACTGCTACTTTTGAATAAATCTTGTTTATTGATATGGTTGTTTCATTAGATATAGATAGATAGATAGATAGATAGATAGATAGACAGACATATGCATACAATGGGAAAGATAAACAAAGTTCTTCATAGCTATGACTTGCGTATTGGAAAGCAAGTAAAATATTTTTCATGAATACATAATGGAACATAAGTAAAGACAACTGAAACATTACTATCTCAAATGTATATACTTGAACAGCATCAACAACATAATGGAATTGCTGGCAACTATAAGTTGCCATCAAAAGAATATTGTTTACAATCTAGATGAAAAGCTGTCCTGCCATTCTTCTCATCAAGCCATTTACCTGCAAAAGAATCAAATCAAAATCAAATCAGAAAACTGAAGAATTAGGCATGCATTACTTGAATGAGAACGAAGTCGATTGAATACTTGAAAGTCCTTTAATTCATCCCAACATAAATTGTTCTTGCAAAATCAAGTGAAATTTCTATTTCTTCATGTCCTTTTCTTGTTTTTGCTCAATCCACGATGTCTTCCTTTTCTGGTTTTATTTTTTCTCTTTTGAGAGGGTGAAGTGCATGGATCAACACATACACCATATCAAAAACAAACCATTTAAAAGACTTAGACAAGTCTACCTACCTAACAATGTCTTTTCTCACAGAGATTTTTTTTTTTCTTCTTAAGCTACAACACTCAAAAAATTAAAATATTTGACAGTAATGACGGTAGCTCAAAAACTGTAACACATTGGACATCAAACAATATTGAAGTAAAGATAAGTGAAGATACCTCCTTCGCCGAGAGACCAACTTCTTGCAAATCTTCCAGCTGAGTAAAAGTTAATAAAATAGATCAATATTTTTAAGTACAATCATTATTATCCTTTTCTCCGTGTTGCAAAACCATGAATTATGTTTAAATATCCTTACCCTCTTAAAAGGTTCAGGAGATTCTTCACGAAGTTCAAGAATGTAAGTTGCTCTCTTTTCTCCAATTCCCTGTGTGCAATATGACATTGATTTTTAAACCATTATGTGCAATAATAGCTTTATAAAAAATAATATTGGAAACAGAGCTTACCTTAATCCTTGTTAACTCTTCCCTGTAATCATGGAGAAAGAAGAATGTTAAATTAGGCAATGCATACACCACAATCCACATAGAGATTTAGCAAATATATTGACATCCAATTATCAAACAACTCCTCCTCCCTTGTACTTGGGGATCATCCCTTTCCATGGTCACAACACCAAGGCAGCAGATTATAAGACTAGTTCTGGCTAAATACTTTCCCCGAGAATGAAAGAAGGAACTGTGGGAATTTATGGTTTGCAGTTGAAGATAACATAATATTATAGTTGCTACTTTTAAAACTTGCAGTTTCTACTGCTTAGATAATGTTTACAACTAAAAAAGAAGTTGTTGCAGAAAAGGTGAAAACTGCACAGAAAAAATTAGATTGAAAAGTATATATCAAGGTAGTTACTTAACATAACATAACAATGAAGGTTTTGCCTTTAAAAAGTTGCAAGTTTCTGCTTTACATGTTACAAAAAAAAAACTGAGTTGGACAGAGAAATATAGCTTATATATCAAGTTAATCTTATTGTATTTTGGAAAGCAATAAAAATATGATGAGAAGAAAATCTTAGTCAGCAATAAATTGACAATCAATATCAAAAGGAAAAAGAACGATAGGTTTTTATTGAAAACTGTTCACTTACTTGCTGGCAGTATTTAAGAAATTCAGATATTCTTGGACAAGACAATTCTGTACAATGAAAAGATGATTGAATGAGTTGAAAATAAAATCAAACAAGAAAATGTTTACAAAACTATTCACAAAAATAAATCACTACCTTTACTCCAGAACTGCGGGTATGAAATTTCTCCCAAGGACTACTGTACTTGACAATCTCCAAAGTTCTCACATCAGTTTCAGTTTTTGGGGTTTTAGGTTCTATAATGTCACAACTATCAAGGTTTCCATGGGATACATCCGACTGCTTTGGCATCAGTACATGCAAAGGAGTTGAAGCCTCCAACAACCTTAAATTATTTGTTATTTCTCTAAGTCTTGCACTTAGTGGTGGTGATCCAACTTTGTCTATGCTCATGTCTTCATTTTTCTTCTCTATACCAACAGTACCTGCAAGGTTATAGCATATGTGAAAAAAATAAAACCCAATGAAAGTTTATATTAGATACAGTAACCAACTTGTGACACAACCTACCATCATCTGGAAAAGAAATTATTTCTTTGACATCACAAAGAACATCGGGAGTAACTTCTAAATCTGTTGCTTTATTTGGTGGAGAGGCATCCTGAGATGCAAAGATAATTCTTAGTACACAGATAACTCCAATTCAATAAAGTGCATCAGTAGCTGTGTAGCACCTTGCAGAAAATGATTGAACTAAATTATTACTGTACAACCAAATATTGCCTTACCTTCTCTATATTTTTATCGCAGATTGTTTCCTTGAAAGCACTTGGGATTTCCTGAATCTAATACATTAGTTAAGCCTGTGCATAGCCCTCAGAACAGCAAAAAATAGAAGGAACAGAGATGCATTCACAAAGTTTAAGAGCACATACATTTTCTGCTGATAATATCAAGGCTCCAGAACTATCTGAATCGGACTTATCTTGAGAAGTCTAGCAATACATAACAGTATAACACCTTAAGTTCAATGTGGCATAACTAAACAATGAATGATATCTTAACACATCTTTAATAAACCAATGCTTCAACTGATTAAGTCTTGTACCTTTTTATGGAAGGAAGATGTGATGGTTGAAGCATTTTTTGATCGAGGCTTAAACTTTGTAGCTGAGGTGACTTCATCCTATGAATCAATGACATGTTAAGGTATGAATCAATGACGCATTGAAGTGCTACATAGACAATTGCCAATTGATTTCAGCTAGACTAGAATAATTTCCATCATTTTATTGAACCAATAAATCCAACTGAAAAGTTAAAAGCAACATTTCAGAAGTAAGGGAGAAGACTTTGTGCAGCGAAGAAGTTTAAATTTCACACCCTAAAATTAGAGGTACAAACTACAAACCGGATGAGTTGAGAACTAAAGTAGTGGGCTTGTAGTAAACTATTCTTTTAAAATAGTTAATACAACCAATTATACAGGAATCAGAACCAAGATAAAACTATGTCTGGACAAAAACAATAGATGCATGGTTGGTTACCTGCTTAGAGATGACAGCTTTTCTCTCACTGAATAATTTCCTTCAATGAAAGCGCAAAAGCAATGTTTCAGTACACATCAGTCAATAAGCAATATATGCTAGTTATATGATATGCCATGTAGCAATACCTTCCTGTTAAATTGCTAGCAGAGTTGTTCTTTTTCCCAGACAACAGGGTACCCATTAGTTGTACTTGTTGATTAGTGTGCTTTTTACTTTTCATTGCAGAGCTTGTCAAAATCTGGCCAGTGCTTTGACAAGATCGTGAAGCCAAACTTGCTACATAAAGAGTATCTTGGCAAGGAATTGGATTCTATAACAAAAAAAACAGAAGGGTGAGAAAAGAAATCTTCCAAACCAACTTTTGGATCTACAGTTCTACACAAAATGTCAACCATGTAAAAATGAGAAGTCATTACCAAGCAGGTAAGCAACAAAACATGATTGGAGCCTCCAAGAGATTCCTGCAGCATCCGAGTGAGTTTGCCTTCTCGATAAGGCACACGCTTTTCATTTGTGTTCAGAGCATACACCACATTCATAATGGCATACAAAGATTTGTTTATTCTAGTACTTTCAGTAAGTGAAATTCCATGTTTACTACTTCTTCTGGAATCCTCATAGCCTGAGAGCACAAAAATACAAAGAAGATAACTAAAAAGCAATTATTGAGCATAGTGAATAGCTCTACAATTTTTGAAGGTTTAGGACTACCAGACCTGCCAAATCCACAAAGTTCATCACATTGGGACATTTACTACCCTGGATGTCATCGGCAGATGCTATACGTATCAGTAAACCTTTATGACTCCTTTTGGGCATTTGGAGTGGTGTCTTTTGTGCTGAATAGCATGGTGCGGTCCAACAAGCGCATAGATCATGAAAGTGTGAAATAGAATCCACAGTGGCCTGTGTACAAAAAAAGAAGAGTAATCTTAACCTTTTCAATGTGCAAATTGTCAATATTTTACAACCATAATTGGATTAGACTACTTTAACTTGCCTTAGACAATCCTTTGAGCTTTATTTTTCCTTGAGAATCTTCAAGAACTTGAACTTCAGGATGATTAGGATCCAAAAGATCATAGACATGATCCTGGAACACCTCATAAAAGGAAACGAAGACCACTACCGCTTTCTCTACATCCTTTGTTTGCGAAAGGATCTCAGCTATTGCCATTGCTGCCAAACCTTGTTTGTCCACAGAACCCTACAACACAAAGAAACAATATCCTCAGTTTCAAAGTAACAGAAAGTTATTAGAGAATCATGTTGGATAATTACACGGAAGACCGACCTGGATTGTGTGGGTTTTTCCACTGCCTCTTGCCCCATATGCAATAATGGATGCATTTCGACCACTTAGAACTTCTGATATCAGTGGTTTTACCTCTCTTGAGAATACTATACTATTATCATCGTCTTGTTCATAGCAATTATCTAATTCATATACATCTTTACGGCTGCAAAAAAAACGAACTAGAAAATCTCAGATTTTCCCCTCCCAAAAATAAAAGATATCCGCCTAGGCAATTAACTCAAAAAAATCAAGCTCAATTCAATGCCAAAAGAAACAAATCTATGCACAAAATACATTAACAAATAGGTATCTACAAAATTTACCAAGAAATCATAGAATCTCACATAATTAGAACTAAAACAAGACCTAATAGCTAACATATAGTCAAATCCATGGGCAAACATACTTTGGAAACATAAAATATACAAAAAAACATTGAAAATGAAACTTGAAACCATCTAAAATTAATGAGTCACCACAAACATTACCTACTCCCTTCATCTCCGAATGAGATTGTAACTTTTCCAGACGAATCAGAGCCGTTCTCTTGCGACCGGGAAACAGTGACCCACGGCTTCGAATCTCCGCCGGGAATTGCAGATTCCTGATCGGTAAATCCTCGAATTTTTCCAACAATTCGCACCTTACGTGAGATTCCTGGACCGGCGTTGAGTTTCAGGCGATTTGAATCGGGCGTCGACAAAGCCATGAGAAATTCTGCGTTTGAAAATTCACAATTTTGGATGAATTAAGAAGAAAGTGAATGAGTGATAGTAGTATTATTTTGTCTCAGAGAAATAGCCGTTAGGGTTTGATTTTCAAATTCTTCGTCTACCTTCGGGCGCTCTTTTACGCTCCTTTGCACGACACGCTACATGTAATGCTAATCTCATTTTATTTTATTTTTTTAGTTTAAAATTAGAAATAAAATGAGAAGTTTATAGCAGAAAAAAAAAATTAAATATAAGAAATTAGGATTTTTTTTAAAAAATAGACTAAAAGTTATTTAAAAAGAAACAAAGGCATTAATTTTTATTTATAATTTTAAAGTATTGTGACAAAATTTGTTCTACTTTGTACTAAATGTAGAATTGTAGGTTTAACCTAAGATATGATATAAAGATTAATAATTGAATATGTATTTAGGTTCAAAGAAAGTAGATTATGATGATCGTAATTAACCACTAATTGTTATAAATTTATTTATGTAGGTAAGAAAATAAGCAAATAACATTAAGTTAATGGGCAATAAAATAAAAGAGAGAATATTTTTATTCAGATATTTCTGATTGAATTGATAAGCAATCTGACTAAAGAAAAAGAGCATTTAGTTATTTATTTATGTTCAATTCAAGAGCTAATGAGTAGTAGTAATGAAAAGCTGATGAGGTGCAAGTAAGGTTAGTTATGAGTACTAGTCCTAAATAAAAAGAATTCCAGTAATATTTTGATCATTATTCACACGTTGCTTATGTTATTTACATAAATATTTATATGAATATATGATTGTTATAACGAATTTTAAATTTTTGGAGCTAGTTATTTTGTCATTCTTAATTATTGGATATCATATACTTAACTCCGAAGTGAAGCTATTTCAAATCGGTGCAATAAATTTATGTTAACCTCAAAGTGAGCTTCGAGTGGATTGACTATGCGCTTCTTTGACTCTTGGTCAAAGTTGCCTTAGTTAACATGAAACTTGCATTGTCACGTGTCATTCTCTAATTATTCACGTATTGAATTCATATTTAACCTATTCTCTTCACTTTTACATATTAATTTTTTTTATACATAGTCATTTCTAAAGGGTGAGAAGTACATAGCTTAATTCTCTCGTATACCTAACATAAGTAATCAAAATATAGAATAGAAGTTTGTTACATATTTAAAGAAATTAAATATACTCATTTTTGACGAACTTAGCGGACAAAATCGCTTAAAACTAATTTTAAGAGGTTTAAAGCCGTAAGCGTCCCCTGATTTGTCCACATTTTCTAGGACCGATCTGGTAGTAACTTTTTTTTTAATTTTTCTTTTACATTATTTAAAAATCAGTGTTTAACATGAAAAATTTAAATACGATTTGAAATTGTTTTTAAAATTTCAAAACACCCTAAATTTGTTTGTCCATGAGAATTTTTCATCTCTATTTTTTTCCCACTTTTTTCACTTTCACTATAATTATTTCTTTCTTCAACTTATACCCTAGATCTTTTAATATAAAAATAATTCTATTTAAATTATATTTCATGATTAAATCAGGTAAATAAGTCAAATTAAGTGATTTTGTTAGTTTTTAAAAATTAAGGAATATAAATTGTAATGAAAAAATGCATTCAAATTCTGAATATCTTTTATAAAAAAAATATAATTATACATAACTCATACTTTAAAATTTTTAAATAAATTTTTTATTTAATATCCCAAAGATCAGACATTATTTTGTCATATTTTTTTGGATAAATTTTAGGAATCACATAGTTTTAATATGAAATTACAATCTATTTCTCTTTAGTTTGTAATTACATTAATCTCTCAAAAAATAACACAAATCGGATACATAATATGTATCTCGGATACATTATAACATAAACCGGATACATAATATGTAGCTCGGATACATTAAAAACTAGCTCGAATACATTATAAAATAAAATCGGATACATAATATGTAGTTCGGATACATTAAATATTGGCTCAGATACATTAATATGTAGCTCGGATACATTAAAGAAATAAGGGATTTTAGAGGTTTTTAAAAATAGAAGGGGATATTGAAAATAAGGGAAATATAAGACATGTATTTCAGTAATTTTTCCTATTTTTTTCAGTTTTATATTGGGCTGGTTCGGGTTTGGAGCATATGTCAAAAAGTCCAGTCCAGCAAATTTCAGAGAAGAGTTCCTTCTCTGTGAATTTTTTTCCGTGAAAAATACAAAGGAGGAAGTGGAGCTGTAGAGAAAAAAATGGAGGGGAAAACGGAGAAGGAAAACAAGTTTGTGAGGAAGACGGCGTGTGATGTGGAGGCTCTGAAGAAGTGTTTGGAAGAAAATAAAGGCGACTATTTGAAATGTCAGTCTCATGTTGAAGCATTTAGGTCATCTTGCTCTATCAACAATTCTAATTCTTCTTCACCAAAGCTCAATTCCGGTGCGGATTCTGATCCTGTCATCACAAAATCCTGAAATTTTAATATTGTTAACTTTTTTGCGTTTCCTTCGAGTTATTGCTTTTTTACTTGCAATTAGGTTGTTTTTGTCGTAATCAATAACGATGCACTATTGGAGGTTATTATTTTTCATTGATAAAGTTTCGAACTTGAATGCTAAAAGGTTTGTTTTCTATGAAAATATTGAGCTTTTTTAATTGTGAAATGGGTTTGGTTTACTTTGAAAGAAGATTCTTTCAAGTCAAATTGCTGCTTTGATAATTGTTTGTAATTGTGCCCATGGATGGAGCTAACGTGAAAAAACCTGTTCTTGTAAACGTCAGTTTTTTTCCGTACAGATTTCTACTAGGGAAAAAGAGACTTTTTATGTGTATTATGGATGTTTGGACGAGTCTAGTTGTAATCCTTGACTTTGCCAACAATGTCGGAGCCAGGAATTCTCAAAAGAGGGTTGAAAAGAATGCAAACTTGCACAGTGGGTGAATGCATTGAGCCTTTTTGGTTGAAATTTATATATATGATGATAGGAGTATATAAAAAAGAATTTGTTTTTATCCTATTTGCTAAGTGTAGCTTGTAAAGAGGATCTATTAAACCCCCTTCAGTACACTTGGATACCTTTGTCTGCCAACAGAAATTGGTCTATGACTTGAACGATTTTATAAGGCTCTACCGCTTTAGTATGAGTTTCTTTCAAGAGTTACCTTTGGAAAGAAAACAAAACAAGATTTTCAGAGAGTTGATAAATATTGCTTTAGGGGTAAAATAACATTGTTGGTAGGTTCAGCAGAACCTTGTCAGTTGCTGATTAGTCATTAATGATTCATAAATATTAACTGATCTAGAAATTAGGGATCCTAGAGGAAACAGAAGTGGAGGGGTACAATTCATTTGTTTGCTCATTGATACTGTCAAGGACTAGGTGTTATATTACCATTCTGATATATTGGCTTATCCTAGCATCATTGTGTTCCCAATACCTGGATTCCAAGTTTATAAAGCTAAAATTATGGTGGTACTGTGAATGAAAAGCAAGTGTAAAGAATTGTACTGGAAAAGTTTGATGTTGAGGGGTGTGAGGTTTACAAAGTAACGCTTGCTCTATCCTCATCCACCATAGGTAATTCGATCATTATCTTTTGTATGCTCATATTTTATGTGAAGGGAACTTTCCCACAAGCTACTGCTTAGACTAGTGACTTAAAAATTGAACCACTTGTTAGTTATCTGATGTCTAGGTATCGACATAATATTACTTTAACAGATAGTGGTTTAGATGCATTGGTAATTTGCCAACTTGGGTGGGGAGTTCCTAATGACTGTCAGGCAACTTCAATTATTGCTGCAGGTTTAGTCTTTGATGGTTTTCAATTTTTGTTCCTTATAAATTATAGCCACTATCCTGTAATCACATGGACTTGGTGTGAGATGCATGCATCTTAGTTGGATTTATGGATATTTAATGGCTTATATTGGGGCAGCAAATGTTGCATACTTTTTAACTTTCAAGTTGGGACATTGCTGAGGACCTGAACAAATAATTTCCTCCGCAACACTTTAGGTGTTTAAATGGAAACGGTTCACTCAAATATGGTGTCAGATCATAGTAAGTCCTGAGCTCGAGTCTTACCACCACCCATTGACAAAATACTTCACATGGTTGGTCAAAAGAATTGGGACTTGAGAAGAGGGCATGTCGTTGACCTAAATATATAAATAAAGTTAGTAATTCCTCATCCAATGATATAATACAGTAACTGCCATGTATATACCAGATTGGAGAGTGTCCATAGCTGCAAGTGTTGCATGTCGCACACTTATTTTTTCTTTAACTGAAAATTCCATAATGCGTAGATCTGCTTGACAGTTGGATACTTATTGAAGTCCCATATCTGAATCACCACTTGTATCTATTAAATTTCTCACATACGAGTGCATAGGAAGTAGTGATATATGGATAAAAAAAGAGAGAAACATACTAAAGTATCACAAAGCCCCGATTGCTATTTCAGCTTAGTTAGTGCTCAAAGTTAATTTTTAGCTAGCTTTGTTATGTCCAGTACTTTTCTTGCTTTCTTCCTAAGCAGACTGCAATCAATCTTTCTGGACGTTCAGCTGCCAGGGTTTAGTGTTCTCTTTGATGTTCCATTTTTTCTGTATTTCATTTTGGATAGCCACCTATGTGTCATTAAAGCTATGATTTTGGAATGTTTGTGTATTTGACAAAAGTATGTATATTTGTATGTGAGTTTCTCAAAATGAGAGTGTAATTTACACTTAAATCTCACTTCACATTGCAACTGATTTCATTTTATCCCCTTATATCCAGACAAACTGATCATTTACTTGTTAAAAAGATACGCACACAGGAAGACAATAACATGAAATTGACAAGTGACCAAGCCTGTTTAAGAAAATGATCTTCATATATTAGAGTACTAGGTAAATTACTTTTACCTTCACTTTGCAGTTGTCGAGGACCTCAAGTAAGCAACTTGAACAAAGATTGGAGGACTGAAATCCGTGTCTTTTGCTGCTAGCAGTAATAAAACCAGAAAGAAGATTCAAGTATAAGTCACCGCATTGTTTGTAACATTCCTCAATTAAGGATATAGTTTTCTTATCTGTGCTATTTCTTCAGCTTTAATATCTTTTCAGATACTCTCCCAGAAATTTGTAGTTTGTGATAAGTAGCAAAGAAGAGAACTAATGAGGAAAACAAAATGTTGGTGGATGAGCAGTTGAAGATTATATTGGCCGCTTTTAGTTTGTACATGCAAGTATTTCCTGTCACAATATGAAGAACTGAGTAGTTTAAAGTTCCAGCGGCAAATTTAGTGACAAAAAAAGAAGTAATTGTGTTTGCCCTTTAAATGAGCTAGTTTTTAATTTTTACCCTTGAAATCGAACTTATGTCTATCGGGCATAGATTCTTTAAGGACGCAGGTAGAGGTGTGCAAAAATCGAAAAAAGAGTTATTGGTTTATTGGGTTAATTGTTATTTAATGGTTTTATAAAAAAAAATTATTGGGTTATTGGTTCGATATTGGTTTTTTAATATTGGGTTATTGGGTTAATTGATAATCCATTAAGAGTATAAGGAAACTTACACAATTAAAACTACTTAACTCTACTCTCTGCATTTATCCTTTAAGTTTTAGTGTTACTTAAGTGTTTAGGTTCTTAACGTCAAAACCTAAGGTTTGCAACGACGACGACGAGGGTTAGGCAACGGTTAGGGTTGTAAATTGTGAGTATTTGCTATACTTTTACTACACTAAGCAGAATTTTTGCACTCAATGAGTAATTTGATTTTTCTCTTTTTTATTTCGCGTCAAATTATTGGATAAGTCATATATTTGTTTTGAAAGCATTTTCTTATTGGTTAAAACCGAAAATCGAACCATTAAAAGACCAAAAACCGATAAATTGAAAACCAATAACAAATATCTTATTGGTTTGATTATCGGTTCAGCATATTTAAAAATCAATAAATCGAACCAATAATACTTAAAACCAACCGATACATACCCCTAGACGCAGGGCATAACTCGTGGAATATTATGATGCAAAAATATAACTTTATACGTTGCAAATAAATTCATTTAGTTTGAGAGGTAAAATTTAAAGACGACCAGGATAAAAGTGCAAATGACCCTCTTAAAAAGTGATTTTTGTTCTAGCCTATCTTCTTTCAATGATGATACAATTCCTTCATCGATGACAATATTATCACTTTTTAAGATTTTATCTTCTTTCGAAGATGATATATTCCTTCATCGAAGACAATATTTTCACGCGCTTGACTGAGGAGGAAAATAGGATTTCGTATGCAAATTTGAGACCTCAATCTTGAAGCTTTTGGTGTAACTTTCCGACTCTATTTGTATGTGGAATTTGTTGGTGATGGATCTAGTCCAATGGTCCCCCTCTTTTTCTTGTGACCTAAAATAGTTACTCCTTTTGTTTTATTTATATGATAGTGTTTATCTAGGCACAATGTAAGAAATGAAATGAAGATTTTTGGAGCTTATGGTTTAAAACAAGTTTTAGACATTTTTATGATTATAAATCATCTTATTAAGAGTAAAATGAAAATTCTAAAGTTAAATTATTTTTAAATATAAAAAGATATTACCCTTTTGGACCATCTAAAACAAAAGTATTGAACAACTGAGACATAGAGAATAGTGAGTAAATATTATTGTTTGCAACAAATTTTAAATACTTGGAAAATAAATCAATCATAAATAAAAATCTAAAGAAACATATTTTATTGATAAATAGTGTGGGCACAATTTTGTTCCTCCCTTGATTTTTCAGGTCGTTAGTAGCGTATTTCTCAAATTAGGATGATTTAAATTTGATCTCTTTATGAATATTTCATGAATTTGTGAAATATTCGAGATGTCAGGGAATATAATACCTTTTATATAAGGATGAACTAAGATTTAAGATTGAGCAGCCTCTAAGAATCCTAACTGGAATCTAATACACGAATCCCAACTAAAATTGAACACTTCTTGCAACTTGCAGAGTCCCACAATTTTTCAATGTCTACAATTATAAAGTCATTTAAAAGAACATTGTCAAGTGCCTCTGTTCCTTGAGAAGTTGCCATAAAAAAATGTTCTTAATTTTCTTCTAGAAGATACAGAAACTTCAATTTTAATCAAATGAACTCAAACGCAAGTAAATTGATCCTTGTGTAAGTTGTAACTTTTTGTGTAATACTGACCCCTTAGGTCAGACCACCGCCCAACCATCCCTAATACTTATGCCTAGTTAATACTAATATTTATCTTTCTTGATTAAAAAAATAAAGATTGATCCTTCAAAAAAATATATCCCTACTCACCATAGTCTATTATGTTTCACTTCTAATTGGTTTTTCCTTGCTTAGAATAAAGAGAAGAAATATAAAATATGTCATCAGGGGTCTATGGGAACAGAGAAAAAAAAATGGCTCAATGTCCTCGATTGCATATAAAATATGTGTTTTGCTTAATTGTCGTGTTTGCTCGACAGAGTCATGAATCACGAGTTAACCAAGTCAAACCTTGACATTGAAGAAAACCAAAAAAACACCTCACCAATTTTAATTCGATAAAAAATTATTTACACCCGATGTTTGATATCAAAATAAATGATTATGCAACATTGATCTTGCACATAATTTAGCTATAGTTAGGTGATATGTATTTTATTTTATTTTTAAAAAATAATTACGATGATTAATTGTTTAATTCGATGTAAACATTTTACTAACGTATTTTTCCGTTATAACAAGCACTCTTCCATCAAATGTGCTTGTTGCCTCCTAATGGCTTACAGTGTCTTAAATTCATCCTCCAATTTCATTGACCTTATTTTTTTTGAAAAAAATAAAGGAGTGCTGTGGGGGTTGGTGGGGTGAGGAGAGGTGGGGGTGGGGGGTTTAGAGTCGACAAACTCTAAACAGAAATTGTCAAACCTTAACAAATTGCAAAATGTCATAGTAATATACTTACTAGTAGCTTGCAAAATATTATTTTCAAGTACACGTTACATGCCTTATATTCTGCAATAATTATATATTCTCATTTCTCTGTAAGGATTACTTGTTTTCACATCTGTCTTTTCCACATCCCTAATGTAGCAATTGAGATTCTTCCTGTGTCATTTATGACGCGGACTTTTTTGATGTGAGGCATAAAGTATAATAATCTCACGTTTGGTTGGAGTTATTAGGTAGTTCTTGGATAATTTATCTCACCATTTTTGTCATAATGTCATTGGATACATGGTGGAATAACTTGTTCCCAACCAAACGAATTAAGAGACAAATTCATTGGATTTAGAGTCAGTGAGTTCAGAATGAATACAACCAAGCACGAATCGCCTAATAGTTTATACATAGTTAACTGAAGGGATACTCTTTCCAAGATATAGCTGCTCTTCTATATAAGTATACATAAACACAACAGAAAGAACTAAACAGAAGAAACTAACTTATCTCCTGAGCATGTCTGAGTCTCAGACTTCAGTAAAACTTCCCATTTTCGACATTTCGAGGCCATTGAGTTCATCAAATTCCCTCAAGTCCCTTTCTTTAGCTTGTAAAGAATGGGGCTTTTTTCACATCAGTAACCATGGAATTCCCAGAGACTTATGTAAACAACTCCATTTCCTTTCTAACCAAATTTTCGATCTCCCGTGTGATGTAAAGCTCAATGCTGGACCTTTATCAAATATAAGAACCTATACTCCTCACTTCATTGCTTCCCCTTTCTTTGAAAGCCTCAGGGTGTCTGGACCTGACTTCTTTGCTTCTGCACAAAGCACTTCCCAAGCCCTGATCAACCAGTCAATTCCAGAATTCAGGTAAAATCAAAAACCTTAAAACACTACATCCAACTCTCGCATGTATCTCGACTATTTATCTTTGTTATCTCCTAGAACAAGCACTAGGTATAGGTAACTCTGTCCATCAAAGCTTTGACAAATGATTTTTGTTTCTACTAGGATTTGAACCTTGGTTTTCACAAGCTTCATTGACTCCTAGACCACAACGTTGAATGCACTTAACACTACACTTTTTGTTTTTTGTTTTTATTATTGATGAAAGAAATACTCTGCTTTTCTTGCATACATCATAAACATTAGTTTAAGATTGCTTGACCACATGACTTAAGTCACTCTGGTAAGAATTCAGCATTTTTAATGTTTTTCTTTTGTCCTTTGTAGTCATGCAATGGAGGTATATGGGAGAAAAATGGTAGAAGTGTCCAAAAGCATTGTTGAGGTCATACTGATGAGCTTAGGTCCTGAATTTGAGCAAAAATTTGCATCGGAATTCAAGAACTGTCATGGTTATCTAAGAGTAAACAACTATACTCCACCTGAAAGCACGGAAAATGTACAAGAAAAAGTTGAAGGGCTAGGGATGCACACTGATATGAGCTGCATAACAATAGTATATCAAGATGAAGTTGGTGGACTTCAAGTGAGATCCAAAGAAGGCAAGTGGATGGATATTGATCCTTGCCAAGACACACTTGTTGTGAATATTGGAGATCTCTTGCAGGCTTGGAGTAATGGGAAATTGAGGTCATCTGAACACAGAGTTGTCCTGAAAGAGCCTGTGAGTCGATTTTCCATCGCGTTCTTTTGGTGCTTTGAAGATGAGAAACTGATTGTTGCACCACAAGAGATTGTAGGGAAGGGAAATTTGAAGGTCTATAAGCCTTTTGTTTGTGCTGATTATTTGAAGTTTAGAGAAAGCAATGAGAAAGGCAAGTTTGAGAAAGTTGGTTTCACTGTCAAACATTTTGCAGCTAAATAGTAGTCTTGGTTACTTGATTTGAAGCATTTTCTTTTGTATAAGAGGTTAAAAACAATTATACTATTTTGGTAATGGAAGTTGTTTGTTCTTCTCTTTCAAAGTCCTAGTTATGAATTCTATATACAGATACTTCTTTTCTTGAGTTTAAGTTCTATGTTACTAACCGTGTAAAGTTCTCTTCACCGTCTCCTTTTTTGTACCTGGATTTGTTGCACTTGAGCCGAGGGTCTTTAAGAAACAACCTCTCCACCTCCACAAGGTAGTTGTAAGGTCTGCGTACATTCTATCCTCCCCTGACCTCACTTGTGAGATTTCACTGGATATGTTATTGTTACTAAACGTGTAAAGTATTTTTATACCATCAGATCAAATTATCTGCAATAGCAAGCACAACATATTCTAACATAAAATAAGCAACTTGTTTAACATGTTGAGTTACACAGCTAGTTCAAATTATTTGGACAGTTGTTATATTATAACATAAATCCTTTCTTTTTCCCCAATTTGGCGGCACATGAGTTTGCTTCCACTTAGTTGGTGGCAACTCAGTTATGTTTGACCTTTTGCAGCTTCTAGAGGTCACCAGACACATTCTTGAATGAGGTTTAGTTATACAACGACATACCCAGTGAAATCACACAGGTGGAGTCTGGAGAAGGTAGAGCATATGCAGTACGCAAGTCAGATCAACTCTACCTCCCGGAGGTAGAGAGATTGGTTCCAAAAGAGCCTTGCATCGAATAACATATATCCAAAGCAGTTTGAGAAAGAAAATACAAAAGTAGAGAAGACATAGCAAGTGATAAAATAGGCCTTCTCAACCTAGCTGGAAATGAAGCATCTAAACCTGGAAGAAGAAAAAACTTAACCAGACCATCAAATGTTTGGGAATATAATTAGTCAACCAAGAGAATTTAGGCAAAATTCTCTTATTGGCAGACAGGGGACTTTGTTTGATCAGTTCATTGGCATCTGAGGGACTTGTTCTTAGAATAAAAGTAATGACACTGATTATTGCAGGGGAAAGGCCAAGTCTTCAGCAGCTAAGAGCCAACAGTCTATCTGTATGCTACACTTGCACAATATAGTTGGCAAAAGAAAAGAAAAAAAATAATTCCAGACTATATTAATCACGAGATTTTGTCTCAAACAATGCCAGTAAAGGTACATATAATCGTTATATAAAGAATCAACACGCATTACAGCTTTTCCTACATGTACCATAATAATCAGGAGAACCAACCATAAAAACAGAATTCCTTTCACACTCTCCAGTAGCAGCCCATCGAGTACAGTTCTCATCTTCATCAGTACAATAGGTATCACCATCTGATTGCAGTGGATCCTTTTGTACAGTTATACTTCTGAGATAAAAGAATTTGATGGCATACCACATTTCACCATCAATAACGGGGCATCTTGCATGGGAGCTACTCCTGTCAGGGGATGCATCGAGGTGGACATTGAAGAACACAATTGCATTTCCTTTAGTTGGTCTCAGGGAGTCGCTACTCTTCGTACAGTCGGACAATATCTTATTCTGCACCAGGAGTTCGAATAAATTAGAATAAAAGCACAAACAGCAAAGATGTCATTACAAAATTAAGTACAACAAATCACTCTATTTTACCTCTGACTCGGGGAAGAGGATCTGACCACCCTGTGTCATATTTGATAGATACAAAATGACAGTCGCCATTAATGGTTCGCTGGACTTGATTGTGGAGTTACTCTCAAAATAACCATAATTCCCCTTTAAACTCTCACGCCCAGAATGCAGAACATGCAACGGCTTGCTGTTTCCTGAAGGCAAGGATGATAGCGGTCAGTCATACAACACTGAAAAGGCAGACTCAAAACCTTCAGTTGGGAGGAGTACCTAGAAAGAATTAAATGAAACTTATATATCTCACAATGAAAACTACCTTTCGGCAGAAAGGTCCAAGCTGAGATCCTTTCTTCGATCCTTGAGGAAGTAGGATCCTAGAATTTTTTGATAAAGGTAACATTAGTAGGATCCTAGAATATAAAGAACAATACAAAGAAACATGTTATGAGTACTGAGTACAGTGTTTTATCAACATGAACTGCTTTCTCTGCCAGCAAATTCAGTGAGCATGGAGACCATTCTCATGGTAAGCAGAGTTTATAAAACCCTAATGCATAATTACTAATATCTGGAGTCCATTCTCATGGTAAGCAGAATTTATAGAACCCTAATGCATAACTAATATCTTCAATCTACAAGGCTAAACACTATCTACATAATACAAATGCTTGACTTTGTCAAAAAAAAAAAATACAAATGCTTGTCACATCTATGCTTTGAAGAAGCATTAGCTCATATAAAGAACCATGTAGATAACAAGAACTTACCTTTGCATCTAAGGGAATACCCATGGTTGGAAACTTCACTGCATCCACAGAAGCATTATCAATTGTGGAGCTATTTCTCGTTCCATGCACCTATAAAAATGCATTCATGCGAAGACACATTTAGAAACTTTCTAAAGAAAAAGTATAGCAGTACAAGTTGTGAGGCATTGATTTACCAAAGAGATTAAGTGATCAGTCTCTTCTGCTGAGAGAAAGTCTCTATACAAGAAAACCCTATTTCAAGAAAAAATGTTCATTATTCCTCCATAGTCCATACAGAGAATTATTCAAGTAATCTCATCAAGAAAACCAGGAAGCCAAACAAGCATGCCTTCAAAACACCAACATAACAGAGAAAACTTCTCCTCTTCCTTTTTTTGGATGAACTTACTTAAATGCAGAATTCTGCGTTTTTGAAAATCTCTTTACATGCTACAACATATTGAAGAAGTAACAAGGTTAATGAATGAATAGACTACCTGACCTTGGTCGCCTCGAGAGTTGAACGACGCGTGAGGGATCAAATCTATTAGAACGTACAGGATGGCCCGACTGTATAATGACATCCCCATTCACCTCCTCAGCCCTCAATTCTTTTCGGCCTCTGAAACAAATTGTTGTAATCATGTAAAGCACCATTTATTAAAATCACTCCAAAATTAATGGTTATCATTGCTCTTCTTACATTTAATAATTTGCAGCTTAGAACTAGTTGAGTAGTATATCTTCTACAGTACAGTCGAAAAATGTATATCTTGAAAACCACAAGCCAACAAGATAAATCAGGTTTTTTTCCAAACTCCCAATACTAAAAATCAACATTTTTGACACACTCATAGAAGCTGCCAACTTCTAAGCTCAAAAGACGGAAACTTTAAGGGGGGGAAAATAGAAAAAGGCACTCTATACTACTCTCCGTTTCAATTTCTTTGGCTTACTTTTCTTTTTTGTTCGTTTCAAAAAGGATGTTTTTTTTGGCAACTCTTTAAATTTAGCTTTCCACATGAACATGTTTCAGACCACAGAATTAAAGGGCATTTTAGTACATGTTTTCCAATCTTCCTTTGTTTGGTTGGTCAAGAGGTTTGGAAAACATTTTCGGAAAACGAGTTACTTAAAATGAGGAAAATGACTTCCCTAATAGAAGTAGGGAAAACAAGTGCCTAAGTGACATTTTCAAGTGTATTGTCTCCTCCCCAATCCCCACCCCTTGACCATCCCACCCCCTGCCACCTCCGAATCCCCACTCCCCATCCCATTCCCCCTCCATAATGTTTTACTAGATAACATATAAATGCTCTTAGGATAATATTTTCTTCTTACTTACCAAACACTAGAAAATAAGTGAGAAGACAGTTGATTTCAAGGAAAACATTTTCCTTCTTAGCAAACACACCCCTTTTACAAAATTCAAAACGTCTTTCTTTACTTTCTCAAAACCAAACAAACAAATTGAAGCGGAGATACTAGTTTCTGCAATGGCAAAATTCCCTATTTAATTAAGAAAAATCAACCTGGATTACATGAAGCTTTTTATGATTACCTCAATCGTACTGCTAATTAACCTTAACAACTATGAATACCCAAATAAAATCTACATCACATAATGAACTCAGATCAAGAGAGGTTTGAATCTAAAAATCATGAACAACGTAGCGATTACTATAGAGAATTAAGGAACCAATAACTGAAAGAGCAATAGAAATCAAAGATAATAAAATGCAGGGAAATTAGAGCAACTTTACTGACTTTTCAGCGAAAAGAAGCTCGGAACAGATCCCCAAAGCCACGAAGATGACAACCCAAAGAAAGTTCGCCATTGTTGTAACAGAGCGAAAGAGAAATTTTCTTTTTGGGGAAATGCAGAGTTTTACTGACACGGTTGTTCGAATTTCCAAAGGGATCTGTGAAGTTTCGACTCACTCCCTTGAGGACCACCATGGAACTTCATGGTACGTGGCACAATAACAGGCTGCCATCTGTTTTTTCTTTCATAATTTCTCTTCTGTTTTTCACTTAATTGATATGAGTTTATCAATTTATACCTTGGTAGAATATCAAAATCAATTTACTTCTATCTTTTTAAAAAATATTAATTCTCTAAATAAATTGAGGATATAATAAGTAAAAATATTGTGTTTTTTTATTTGTCAAAAAATGACAAGTAAAAAAAAAAAAAAAAAAAGTCAAAATTGGACAGGTAGAAAGAGACAAAGGGAGTATCTCACAACAATCACAAATATGTTACTCTGTCTATTCTTATTTATATGTCATCATTACTAAAAATATATAGTACTTAATAATTGTTATTTTACAAAATCAATACATAAATGACACTATTCTAACTATTTTTTTTTAATAAAAAATGAGTTATTAGCCTTAATCATAGTAATGGCTCTAAAATGGGTTGGTATTAATATTTTCTCCCTCTAAGAAAAGTGTTATACAAATTGCTTTTATAAGAAGTGTTGATTTTTTATTTTGCTTGATAAATTTTGTCCATATTTTTGCCCATGAGACACACATGTAAGACATCTCAAGACAGTGAATTTGCAAGTGTAAAATAGTGTAAATTATTGTCCGGTACAAGTTATTTTTTTAGAGCTCTTCAATTATGTTTTATCTCTAAGACGAAAATTATAGATTACTTCATATTAAAAAGAAATAGTGTAAATTATTGTCTAGGGCATAAGAAATAGTGGCACTCATCCTATGGTGCAAAGAAATATTTTCAGCAGTTAAATTAACACCTGATGCTCAACTATTTAGCAATTCTCCATGAAAAAAATCTTCACACATAATAATCTTACAGAAAAAAAGGACTAATAAATACATCCATTTTAGCATATGTTCTGAAAGTTCTATATTGATACAAGCCCTTACAGGCTGACACACCAAAAAAAAAAAAAAAAAAAACAGAAGAAAGAACCATAGTGTCAATCAAAATGAGATTAAAAGAATTATGGTTTAATCAAAGAATGATGAGTTTACAACATTGTGTATCACTGGGATCTTGATCTTTTTAATATCTTATGACCTGATTCATCCTTGTCATATAGACGCTCAATCAGTTCATCCCAGTTATCTTTGGTTTTGCTTCTACTTGACGACCCTGGGGATGAATCCCGGACTGATGTATCAGACTGTTCTTCGTCTAGTTCATCAAAAGTTCCGTAAAAAGAAGGTGGAAAAGCATGTGGAACAGCCAAGGTGACAGCTCTCTGTAGAGCAGCTTTATGCTCCTCGTTGTGCTCTCTAGTTAATGTCTGTTGTCGCTCCATCTTTTGCTTTGCTGGAATTTTCGTTACATGATCTCTCTCTTGCATCAACTGGATGCACAAAATAAATATGAATGTGAAGAACTGTTGAAACTGATTTAAGCTTGAACACCTACTGTGCGGTAACACAGATACAAACAAGAGCTCTTTTGTAGCACATAATAGAATAGAGTAGCAAATTCATTTTACAATTCAATTGAAATCACAAGATACTAGCTGTTCATTAAAAGTATATTCAAGTCAAATCACTCTCACATTTCAAGTCCTAACTATTAACATAAATGAATGCGACAATATTTGAGTAAGAGAAATGAATGATTACCAAAGCTTCCCATAGATATTTAAAGATCTTATAAATCTATTAATAAGCTATGCATCAATCCCAAGCAAGTCAAAGTTGGCTATATAAAATCCTCTTTATTATTTCCAAAGAGCTTATAAGTTGCTAAAATTCTTCAACACTTCTAGTCACAAGTACTACATATTACAAGAACGCATCAATCCACAGGCTAAAGGAACCAATAGACGCAACCACGGTTGCTGCTTTAAGTTTCACAACTTAGTGATGAAACAACTAATAAGGTGAAAGGCATGGACCACTTGTGCGGAGAAAAAAAGTTTACCCTATCTTTATCAAGACGCAAGAGAACTGCAACTTGTATTCAACCACCCTTAAGAGTGATGAACTAGTGCCAAGAAGGATTGCACTGATTAACTATCTTAACTGATGATGGAAGTAGATCACAAGTGCCCTACGAGGGTGGAGTGGGGACAATACCATTTGATAAGATAAGGTGGAGAGCACATGATGTGAATTCCAGAACATATTGGTGCTAGTTTGAGCTTTGAACCATCTCAATTCAAAGTTAGTGCAGCAGTTAAATTTCTGTTGTGTCTATTGCAGAATGCAGCAGGCATACGCAAAACCATGAATTTATGGAATATCTATTCCAGATAGCCTACAGCCAAGCTCGCACATCTTTAGAAGTAAAACTAAGGCTATGACCGTGTAAAGTACAAAGACAATTTGTTTGGAATTACAAGCCATCAGTTGTCAAAGAAGTGCAGACAACTTACTTCCAAAGCCCTTCGTGCTTCTCTCTCTATCCAGATAATTGCATGATCAGAAGTAGCATTACAAGAGAGAACTATGTGCTCAAATCTCCCATCCACTGGAACTGCAGTCTTCACAACAGGTGGAAATCGTCCACATCTGTTTTAATGGACAAACACGGAATTAAAGAAATCAGAGGTTGCAATCAAGTGCCTAATAGTAGCCCACAAAACACTGCAGTGTAAAATGGTTCATTATTGATTGTATTGTACTAGGCAAACCATTTTGGTGGTCTTTATGACAAACTTGATGGAATAGATGCTTTTACTCAAAACAGAAACATAATAGTATAGAACTAAAAAATACAATAAATGGTTCTGATCCCCGCGAAGACAAAAAACAAAAGGTGATTTCCATTTATTCTAGCCTTGGTGGGCAGATTACCTGGTACCTATGTTGGAAGAAATAGCAGGTACACTGTAGAATATTCAAGGTATGCAAGCTGGCCCAAACACCACACATAGAAAGGCTTATTCTTACACACCATCATAGAAATGTTATCCACATACATAGGCAGGCCATATTATATAAACAACTTAAGACAATTTAATGTAGCACATCCTATAAGTCTGAAAATACCTAAAAGGTTTCCTCTCAACAATGTGGTAGAGGCGACCTGGGGCGTAAAGCCTTCGTGGATCCTTGAGCATCTTCTCTTCTGAGATGCATGTATCTCTCATGCACCTTAGGCATAAGAGGCATGGTAAACTGCAAAAAATAAACAAGCAAATGAAAATAAATGAGGTTATTCATGAAGAGCAAACGTTAGAATGTAAAAAGGCATCTAAAATATTGGATCCTCCACTTAATGACTGCTATACTAAGGGAAGCTCGGTGCACTAATGTCCCGCTATGTGCAGGGTCCGGGGAAGGGGAGAACACACAAGGGTCTATTGTACGCAGTCTTACCCTGCATTTCTGCAAGAGGTTGTTTCCACTTTCCACAGCTTGTAGGTAATGACACTTTACAAAAACATGGTTCTGTTTCCTTAAATACTAAATTGGATTTTCACACAAACATAAAGTTTTACCAAGTTAACTGGGGTTTAAACACAGTGAAGGGGATATGAAAAAAGCCTGGAAGTAGAAACAAAAAGAGGACTCAAGTTTCCTAGTTGATGGGACACAACCCATCCAGTGCCTCTTAAGATAGTAACTAAATGAGGAATCAAAATTCTTATTCCAAATGAGGGATGGTGTTGTCAAAGGTACGATTAAGCCGTGAAGCAAGGAGGCAAAAACATGTTAAGCGCTTCGTGTCGCTTAGCGGGCGCTGCAGTGTCTTCACCAAGGCTCTAAGGCACAAATTTCCTTCACAATGAGCATAATCCTGAAGAGACGACGCCATATAATTGATATTTCTCTTTCTCGTAATCTTTTTTCAGTTTCTTTGACCATATATTTGTTATTCATGTTTGTAATAATAGTCTTGAACTACACATACAAATTTGTATTTTTTTCTCCATTTGTCTTTCTTCATTTAAGCCAACTTGCTTGCGCTTAAAGCCCAGTGGACCTAACAGTTTTTTTTGCGTTTTCTCCTTCAATAACACTGTGAGGTAATAGACTTTTGAAAGCAAGTACAATATCAAATTTAACTATGTTTTACCAGAATAGTGACTTGAATATATCTTCCAAGGGGGTTGCTGTCCGTGGCAAGAAATCATCCTAATAAAGAAAGAGAAGATGGAGTTAGATTGAAAAAGATTGCAGCGCGCACAATGGGAGAAAAACTTCTAAGGCAGACTAAAAGACCAGTAGACATTGATAATTGACTTCAAAATAGACATCGAAAGATAATGCAAACATTTGCAACCATTATATACAATAAATGAAGCTCCTTGATTCCTAGGTACAGATTCCAAAGCCTATAAATCGACCTCCCATTGTAAGAAAGACTGAGAGCACACAGGCAGAAGAAAGGACATGATCTGCTTATTTATGCAGAGTGGATGAGACTTGACAGTTAACTAAATTGACAAGGCCTTGAAACTACAAAATGTAGAAAGCTACATGCTTCCACACCAAGAGTATCCATCTAGAGAGATAAGACTTAAGAATGTTCAAAGTGATGTATGTAGAACTTGCCTGAAGCACAATGGAGTTGATGACATCTGCATATCTCACTGCCAGATTCAGTGACATACATCTAGCTGGTGCAATAGCAAAGCACCTGATTCTTTTCCTATCAATATTGCCCAGCTTGTCAAGATTTTGTGCTATCACCATTGTCAATAACGCTGCTACACCTGACCCAAGTGAATGTCCGGTAATTGTTAAGGTATAGTTTGGATATTTCTCCAGCAATTGCTTCATGATCTCACATTCGGCATTTAACACCAATCCAGCTGCTTTTAATAAGCCATTGTGAACATACCCACCATCAAATTTCCGTTTGCCCAGCTTATTGTCCAACAAGACTGCATAATCACTCTCCTTCGCCAAATTAAGACCTCTAATAGCAAGAACTATGTCAGCATGATCATGATCCAGATATAAGAGATATGGTGGTGCTCGACCACCGGTATCTGGATAGTTTTTCTTCACAATTAAACAATCTGGATTAACTCCATATCCTTCAGGTGGTTCCGACTGAGGTTGTCTAAGATCATCTTCATATACAGCCAATATGTATCGGCATAGCCTAGGGACAGGTTCAAATTCTTCAGCCGTGGCAACACTCCAATTTTCGCTGTCATGTCCTGCACTATGGAGGCACCGCTTCCATGCCCAGCGGGCACAAGCTACACAGTATACACATTCAAGGAGAGGGGGTAAACCACAGAGAACAGACATTATTGCCTATGGCCTAGTTGTTAGACTGTTGATTAAGAATGTCCTTGAGACTAACTAGCAGCATAGTCAAAGTCTGCAAGATTAACATAGCAGATAATAAGTTCAAAGATACCATAATATAAAAGCCCCAATGCCCACAACTTAAATTAGAAGTTCACAATCATTCAAACGAATATCAATGATCAGTCAATCAACTACGCCAAAATCTCAAACTAGTTGGGGTTGGCTATATGAATCTTCAACATCCACTCTGTTCCAATTGAGCTCATTTCAGATGTAAACTAGGATTTCCTTGAAACTAGAGAATCTCAACAATCTTACACTAAACTGAGAGTACAAGTCTCTAAACAGCCTGAAAAGACTTATTCCCCCAATGACATTCATATGAACAATCATTTAAATCCATGAATCTTGAAAAACTCATGCAAAGAGTGTCTAATTTTGAGCCAAAAACTAAATCTAAATAAGGAAGTTCTACAAGCATCAAGAAAGATCCTTTCTTCAAACATTTAAAATTTCCATTAATACCCAATAACACAAACTATGATTAGGGGAAAATAACAGTACAAAGACAACACCTTTAACTCTTCAACATTGAAAACATTACCTAAATTGGATCATTCACCTTAAGGCTACTGAACCTCAGAATTTGCATAAAACTTGAGACACCCAAGTAGCAGATTCAAGTGTTGATGAGAATTCTGAAGTCAATGCTGTGGATTCTCACTTCTTAGCAATAGCAATCACCCCACAACTGAGCCAGAAATTAAAATAATCAAATGAAATCAGGACACATGTGTACCAACTATTGCTGAGTTGTTGAAAGTCAACTTGGACTCGGCTAATATATTGAGTATTTAGAGGCCCATGATAAAATTTACTCCTTCACTGAACGGTGTTTTTGTTGTCTTTTTCTACCTCTGTTTCTCCATAAATCTCCAAGAGTGCAGTGGTTTAAGGGAAACTGACAAATCTCAAGAGAAAATTGGAAAAGGGTTGAAGGAACAAAATTTCAACCTGTTATACCTTTTATAGTAACCAAATCTATGGTGGAAAATTCACACTGAGAAGAGAAATTCTACACATTCAATTTCCAGAACAACCCATTCAATATGAGTACAGATTTTGTGATTGAAACAGAGAGAATATTGAAAACACCTTAGTTTCCGTAAATTATTAGTTTTATCTCTGAACAATTAATTTTCCGTAAATTATTAGTTTTATCTCTGAATAATTAATAGTCTTAAAAACACTTATTTACTTAATTAGCTAAATTTAAAAATACATTTAATCTTGCAATAAGAGTGAAATACATCATAAATTCTCGTCAAGTTTAGGGGTGAACACTTATTTACTTGATTAACTGAATTTAAAAATATCTCTTATCTTGCAACATCAATGAAATACACCCCTAAATTCTCGCCAAGTTTAGAAGTATTTTTAACACTTTTTTTTTCATTAAGAGTCAATGCTCCTACGAGAGTTTGAGACTACTTGTTATGTCATGTGACAGATCGGTGTATCTAAGTTTAGGTAGTCATGTAGATATGAGTGTTTTAAGACTATCAATAGTTCGGAATGAAACTAATAATTTACGCTAAATTTACAGATGTGTTCAATACTTCTTTCATTAAAAAATGACAGTGATTCGTATATTATTGACACACGGATGTAAAGGAAAAATTAATTTCACAAAGTGCTTAACTTATAAATTTAAATTGAAAAGAAAAAAGTAGATTTCTCCGACGATTATATTATTTTGATAAACATAATGTTTGAATAGATAATTGTGAAGTTTTATTGATAAATTTATATTAAATTTTAAATTCATGATATGTTAATCAAGTCAAATTATTTGTTAATATATTGAAGCTGAAATTATATAACTTAAATGAAGTTTGAATTACATTTGAATTAGTCTGTTTAATTGAAAAGTCGAGCTTAGCTCATGCTTTTCAAATCCAAAATGTTCTAAAGTTACTTGGAGACCAAACTCTCAAACCCCTAAGTCACACCTATATAAAGAAGTCTTCATAGACCAAAAATAGGGAGAAAATATATTTTAAAAAAAATTCTTAAGTGATGATCCGCAAGTGTTCCGCAAGTGAAGAATTCTTCGCCTCCAAATTGTAAGTCGCAAATTCTCATATCTTTGCGATTGTAATCAAAGTTTGACTCTTCGATATTACAATTCAAAAATGAACATACAAGAAAAATAAAATACAATATATAATTATTATAAAAAATATATGATAAAACGATAATCTAATTAGTAAAGAATAAGCAAAATCAACATAAAAGTAAAATAAATAATATATTTAAATTAACACCCCAACACAATATGGAATAACCATCCAAATAAGTTAGCATCAAACCAAAAACAAATAAATAAGAGTAGTATAGATCTATCAGTTCAAAATAAATAGGATAAAGTTTTGATTTACAGAGAAATAGGGATCACACAAATAATGTATCAAATCGAAGATGGGTTTGACCCTACCGATAATATTTATAAGATCCTTACCTACCCTCTAGAATATGCTGTTTTATAAGAAAAATTCTGAATTAATAATATTTTGAGCTATTATTAATAATAAAATTATTATATTGATGAGTAGGTATGTTCTAAACTAAGGTATGATTTCATTTTCCTTTGATGACAAAGACTGTTATAATAGCTTATTCTATTTGAAAGCCTTTTTTGTTTAAAACAACTTTTCATGCTCTTACTTTTGAGTCTATTAGCGGCAACAAAGGCTGCGGGAACGAGTGTTGTGATTTCCCCGACCGATACCACCATTCATTACTGTGAACCAGTCCCATTTCAGTATAGACATGTATTTCTTTAGAACATATTCATTCCAGAACATAAAATCAAATTGAGAATCAAAATCACGCTTGGAGTCTATCGTTAAAACGAACAACACACCAACTTGTGCTACTAAACTCATACCTGAAACCATAATTTGTGTCATTGAACCAATGTTTGGGGCATAACTTATGCTACTAAATTTATGCCTCACGAATTTTCTTCTGTCTTGCATTTTTTTTCCATTGTTAAAGGCATTTTGCACCCTTTTTTTGTTAATTGAATTAAAATGTTAAAAGATAAGAATTAAAGATCGACACACAAAAATTAAAGATTACATACACCAAAATAAAGGCTTTGTGCAAATGGCCCATGAGATTTTGGTGAGCATGGGCCTACAACCTATTGGGCTTTATTTTCAATTGCAACAATTGTGAGTAATAAAGGTCCAAGTCCAAACGGCCCAAACCCTAAGTCCTTGCGAAGCCTTTGAATTACTATATTACCCTCATAATCGTGGCCTTGGTATATAAAAAACCTAAAACCCTAGTTTCAGCTTATCACCCGCCTCAAGACTCTCAGCAGATCGAGCAAAAATCGAAGGTAAGCAGCTTTCACTCTTTCTTTGTGCTAAAAGCTTGATGTGATGTTGAAACCAGTAGAAGGGTTGAACAATCTGTTAATCATTTGCAAAAATATTTAAAATTGATTTTGTTTTTGCTGTATGATTGTTAAAGCAGGGGATGGCGCCGCCGAACACAGGATTAGCCGTGGGATTGAACAAAGGACACATTGTAACCAAGAAGGAGCTAGCTCCACGCCCTTCTGACAGAAAAGGGGTAATTTTTCATTCATTCTATAGATTGTTGATTACTGTACTCGATTTCGGCTTATAATGGTTTAGATTGAATATTTAAATTTAGGTTTATTTTATTTTAAATCACGAAAACTAACTCAGTGAGACTATCAGTATGAATTCTGCATTAGCCATTAAGTAATATGTGTAGCTTTTATTTTTGTTCGGAACATTGATTTTACGCCTATCTCGGATAATGGATACATATGATATATCAAAGTTTAGAGTTTGTGTATTCAATTTATTCTAGAAGAGTTAGAGATGTGTGGAGTGTAATGGAGCTCATTCTTCGTAACATTAACTGTTTAGTTTGTCATTTGATAGAGGATGGGCCTAAGTGTGTGTATGCTTTAAACATTAGTGTTGTAGGTTTGTGTGTAAATAGCATTTCTTGAATGGGGATGGGGAGAGTACAGTCTGATCAATAAAAATGCTCTTTTACTCAAATAGACCCAATACTCATTCTTTTTCTATTGGTATACAAATATTCCTCACCTGAGAGTAAAATGAGTTCTTAGTGTCTGATATTGATAAGTAAAAAGTCAAAACGACTACTGGCTTCTATGGCCTATTTTATGCTTTTTGTGTTAGGTTCCTGTACGCGTGGTATAGAACATTCTGTAACGGAGGTAGTACCTACTCCTGTCCTCATTGCATCGTCTTGATGCCAACAATATAACATCTTCATTCATAAAAAAAGGAAATTAACCAGTGTGTACAACAACATTGTGATTTGTGTAGGTAGGGTCTTTCTGTATTTCTTTTTCCTTTTTCGCTAGAAAATTCAGCATTACCTCTTTCAGTTTTGGATGTGCATGCCATGCTTTGCTTGCATGAATGTTTGTTAGTGACATTTTATTCAGTTGCCTAATTGCTATGTTAATTCAGAAAACAAGCAAAAGAATCCACTTCGTTAGGAACCTCATCAGAGAAGTTGCTGGATTTGCTCCATATGAGAAGAGGATTACTGAGCTTCTTAAAGTTGGCAAGGACAAGCGTGCATTGAAGGTGGCCAAGAGGAAGTTGGGTACCCACAAGAGGGCAAAGAAGAAGAGAGAGGAGATGTCTAGCGTTCTCCGTAAGATGAGGTGATGTCTTGTGATTATTTGTTTTCTTTAAGAGTGAAGTCAGATTATTATTTTCCTATCTCTGAAGAAGATTGTGCATTACCCTGACTAATATTTCTTTCTTCTTCTCCTTGTGTGCAGGGCCACTGGAGGTGGTGAAAAGAAGAAGTGAAGTCTTTATCCATATTTTGACAATTGAGGAACTGAGTTTATTAGTTATTATACATGATCTTTTTGAATTAGCTATAAAATTCTCTAGACTTGACACAATTATGGCTTTGAATTTTCATTAAGATTGTGACATTTTGCTCAACTTTCAAGTTCAAGTCTACACTCTAGTTATGTTCTGTATTTTATATTTTTGTTAAATTGTGTTACTCCTTGCTCTTTGTGGTGGCGGTGGCTTATACTTTGCTCACTTCCCTGTGAAGTTGACCTAGGTTTTCCCTATACTTGAGAACAATATGTTTATTCCCTTAAAACATACTCATACTTTCGTTTTTTCCTCCCTCCAAATTCAATGGCCTCAAACAAGTTCAAAGTACTGTCTTGAGTGAGTACCACACCAATCCTATAATTCTTTGGTTAATTTAAAACGTTGAAGTTTTTTTATTTTTATTGCTAACTAGTTTGAGTCAGATTTTTTGGCATTTTTTAAATGCAGCACTATACATCTACTAGTAATAATATTAGTATCGTTACAATACTTTCTAACCGTCTGAATTCATTCAAGTTAGTATTTGTGTTAAGAATAAAACTGTCAAAAAGTAAGCTCTTATAAAATTGGAGAAGATGAAGAATATATAAAATTCTTTTTATGTTGATGTAAATTCAAAGGATTTGACTTAGCAAGGACTATTTGTACTTTTTTTTCTCGAGATTTTGTATCCTTGCATCACTCTTGTATTTTAAAATTATTCATTGAAATCAAAATTTCGATAGAACGGTGATGAGGTAAACCCACATTTTATACCAGAAAATACTTATCCTTAATCATTGTAACCAAACGAGTGAAGGACCCCAGTGTTTACACCAATTCTCATATTACCTCTTTATTTACATAGACTGTTATCCCTTGCAAATTATTAGTTATTGCACATTCACACATGTACTCTATATTGATGAGTCACAGTGAGATGAATAGACGCAGCACCATCTTTTAAAATGAAAATTTGAAATCGTTAGCTTTTGTAATCAATCTCTCTTTTCTTTGTGTGTTGTCCAGAGGAGGAGGACTATCACGTCTTCTTTCATCATTCTTTTGTTAAGAGGACGCATACAGTACAATTCAGAAGTTCAGTACTAACATAAACATGTATGTAGTACAATTAAGAAGCTAAAACAATCAATGTGATGATGGAAGGTATAGATACCTCGCAGAGTTTCTTTTATTACTCTCTTCTGGTGGATGTCAATGTCCACCAGCTTATATGGGCCAAAATTGACTGCTCCAATCAGAGAATTTATTGACCAAAATGGCAAAAAAGGATACAAGAGTCTTTCATATAACACAATTTTCATGTCTTGAATTTCTGTGAGATTTTCTCAACTCCGCCCCTGCAATCATCGGCGAAGCGCTTAACACCATCCTTGAGAGCTGAACCAACTTCAGCTGAGCTTTGCTGCAATCCTTGTACTGAGTTGCCCATCTTCGACATGGCAGCATCCTTTAACTCCTCTGTTTGCTTGCCTGCCTTTAATGCCCACTCCTTAAGCATAGTGATCAGCAACATTATTTTTTCAATAATCATATGAATTGTCTCTCTTGATTTCCCTCTCACTGTATCAGCCATTTCCTTGAGCTTGTCCACTAATGTTTCAGCTCTATTAACAGTTGATTCAACAGACTCATTTCCAGCATTCTGCCATGTAACTCCAGCATTGGCTTCTTCTTGCAGGTCATTGTCAACTACCACTTTGATGCCTTGCTTCTGCCAACGGTCTCTAGCCTCTTCCAAAGCTTTTGCTTGCTCTCTAGCTTTCTTAGCCTCATCTTCCGCCCAAGTCCTAATTGCAATATTGAAATAAATATCAATCAACTGTAGATGCAAAGAACGAAGGGGGAAAGGGAAGAAATTATTGCAGCAAATAAAAGATGATATGCCAAAAGTTTCAACATGTAGTCCTACACAGATGGAAGTTCCTTAATACTTGTCATTTTGCAATTAGGAGGGATCTGCGTGACTGGAGCAACAGACCAACAGTTACAGTCAATATCAAAGATGCTAGAGTTACCTATGGTAAATATAGTGAAATATGGATGGTGGTAGTTTCACATAAAATCTATTCGTCAGAAAATGCAGCTTTATATGATACTAAATCAACCAGAAGTTCAGAAAAAAACCAGAATTACAAGGACAACAAAGGTGACAGCTTAAACACGGGATCAAGAGTTATTAGAATCCTCATACTCGGTTTAATTGGCAATGATGATTAGTGAGTTTGAACAAAATATCAGTGTAGGCAAGACAAGGAACACACTTCAAAATTATCGAAAGAAGAAAATGGGATAGATTTCATTAGCCCCTTCACAGAGACAAGGAATTACTTAAGCCAGAGTAGCACTAGTAACCAACTCTAATGATACATGATATTGTCACAGCTTCCTCAGAATACTCAAATATCAATATATTATTGAACTAATTTTCAGTCAGTGATAACAAACGACTATTGAACTGTGGGATTGTCACTAACTAGTAGGCAGGTTAAATCCTCCTTGGTGAGCCATTTGAATGTGGTGAATCAACACTGTAATTAAGATGAACTAGAAAAACATTTAAGATGATACATTTCTTACCTAGCCAAGGATAATGCTTTTCTCTCAACCTCCAGCTCATGCTGCAAACGTGCTATCTCTTGGGTTTCAAATTCTGCATCTTTCCTAAGCTTTTCAATCCTCTCTTTATCATAGGTGATCTCTAATTTGTCGCTCACAAGGGACTGTAATTGCTCCTCTACATCGCGTCTTAATCTGGAAAGAATTTCCATTTCTGAATCAACAACAGCACGTTCCTTCATTAATGCTAAATTCTCTTCCTCCCGCTGAGCTCTCAAACTCTCCAACTCTCTTCTTGCTTCCTCAGCCAACTTCTCCACTGCGTCAATCTTTTCCCTTTCCAATAAGAGTTCCTTCTCAAAACTTGCATTCACATCTTTCTCAACTTCAGCTAACAGAGCATTATGGGCTGAAACAGCTTTTTCAGCCATTGACTCAGCCTCAATGCGTGCAAGTTCCTCACCAACGATATCAGAAGCTTCACCGGTTGCTAGGGCAATAGCAGCTTGGGCTTTGGTGACAGGTTTATCTGGTTGGAAGAGTCTTGTGTACCCTGTATTGACAGGTTAGTCATAGCATAACTTACCCTTCCCCAGATCCCACCTCATAAGAAACAATTCATAGTACTCACCAAATGCAAGGGCCACTATTCCCTGTTCACCTGATGATAAGTCAGCTACCAGCGCAGGCCATGCATCTGGATGAATCTTGTCAACATCTATGAACCCAGAGACTCTCTGAACGGACTGTCAAGGAAAAGAGATTGTACCAAATTAGTGAATAGTCACTTACTATGTGTAATAAACAGAATAGAAACCACCCATTCTTCAATTTGTATGCAACCTTTTGGTCAACAATTGGTAGCTGTCTTTTCTCTATCGCCATCTTCCAGCTGACAAGATCTTGACGTGATAAAGGACTGCAATGCAGAACTTTAATGCATCAAGTAGGAAATGACTAGGAAAGTTAGTTGGCATCAGAATACATTAGCAATGCCATGAAGTTAATAGTAATAACATTGGGAGTGATATCGTTCTTTTATCGCTAGTACATCATGGGAACACTGATCAGCAACTTAAACGAATATAAGATCCAAGAAAAATATAAGAAACCATAACCCGTGCTAACATACAAAGTCGAAAGGAGATACATTTTTTAATTCATCAGGGAAAGGGAAGTAGTACATGAGATAGACAGAGAAATCTATCTGTGGAAATTCATAACACTCATCAGCTCAGTCTCCACCTGTAAATACTGTTGAATTATCGATTCTTGAGAGCGATCACCTAAAAGAAGTCCAACATTGCATTTGTGAGCAGTATTATACCTTTCAGGACAGAAGAAGACAGGACTTTGGTCATCATCCAAAGATGACTGCATGTCACGTCTTGAGAGTTTGCTGGAAAGTAACCCTGCTTCGGCTAAACCTAAAGAGGTTCACATTCAGAAGACTGTAGCCCCGATGTCAAGCAGAACTTAACAAAAAAAATTGATGATTCGAAGTTCTACCTTGTATAGACGGGAAGTCTGGATCCTCAGGAGTAATATCATCGAAGGCAAGATCAGTGACATTCTCAATATACATTGCAGGGTAGACCTTTGAGACAGTGGTTCTGTGGTAATCAAAAGCACCCTTACTTCCTCAATAGGTATGTCAGTTAACTTTTCAGTGTTTCAAATGTAAAACAAAAGACTACCAGTTATGTTGGGGAATATACGAGACAGGTATACCTTGATAGAGCACTACTAGCAGAGACCAACCAACGAGCATATTCACGCCGAGTGCAAAGATCTCCAGGTTGAACATCAGACTCAATAACCTACAACTTAAAGATTCAAAACCAGATGCAAAACACATATTGGAACAACTGTGAGTAACACAGGATTGAACACTTCTCCCCTTGACCTTGTGTACCACATATAGGTTTATTCAACTAAAGGAGGACTGACCAAATATTCTTACCAACACATGTCTGACTTTTCATCTTAAAAGATGTCAAGAGGAGGTACATGAATACTCTTTTCGGTGGCTGCAGGGCCAGGGAAGGTAGAAGTCAAATTCATAGCCTGCAACGTCACCTCTTTTTTGTTAACGATGGAGTTCAGGCCAACTTGGGCCAACTCGATTATTCTACCATGTACTTGGTACTTCCCACCAGCACAAGTTTTAGTAACTTTGCCTACCAAGACATAGCAGATGGGAATAAATCACCGTAGTTCTCTTTTTTTCCCAACAACAACATACCCAGTGTAATCTCACAAGTGGGTCAGGGGAGGGTAGCGTGTACTGCACCTTACCCCTACCTCCCGGGAAAAGAACTAAGGTGGTTTTTTCCCATGCCATATTATTGCAATCTAGCACTTGGAGATGCCTAGATATCCAACAAAGTTGCAAGGCACTAGCGTACTTGATCTAGTTTGCTACTTACGGTGCTTCTCAAATTACAGTTCTAATTACGAGCCCACACAATTGACCAGTCCTCTGATTATATAAGCATTGGTTTCTGCAGTCTCATTTAAGATATACCAGGCAGTCAACTTCAAGGCTTTAATCACAGGAGGGAGAAGCCCTCCTCAGACCTGATCTAAGAGAAAGATAAGACGGACTGTGGACAAAGACTAACATGATGGTAAAGATAGTTGACAGAAACAACAATAACCACCCTGTCGTCAAAAGGAAGAGACACTCTTCTGATGAACATTTATAATAGGAAATAACGCAAGAAGGATATTTCCTTATCAGTTTATTTTTTCTGGTTTTACATAATACTTTTGCTAACCTCTCTCATCAGTTCCTCTCAGAGAAACACTTACCATGAAGAAAGGGAAGAGCTTATATACCAGAGTTATCCAAGTGAAAAATATCAACACGAAGTAACTTGAGCAATACGATTGAACTCGATGAAGTAATTATCTAATACCTTCAAAGCTTGTAATGCTGAGAGCGCTTGACCTTGGACTTGATCAAACGAAGCAGGAACCAAAACCCTTCCTGGAGGTGCCTGCAGAGCTGGAGAAATAGTAGATGGAGCAGGAATACCAGCAGAAGTAAAGACATCACCAGGATCCGTTGAGTTAAAAGATGATCTGCTTGCATGCATATCCTTAAAATCGTTTCCAAGATGGTCATAAGCTGTTGTTGAAACCGAAGCTGTACCAGGCACTTCGTCTCTGTTTGACTTATGCACTTCAAAAGATGACTTATCTCCATCACTTGGAACCTCCAGCATTTCGGTCAGGTCAACATTGGTGGTGGAAAATGAGCTTTGAGTGTCTGCATACACTTCGCGTGTAATCATGGGTTCTAAAAGTGCTTCTGATTGCGGATTAACAGCAGTGTTGAGGTTAGAAGGCTCAATAGGAGGGGAGTCCAATGAAATTTCGGAGTGTCCTGGTCCTTCCAAACTAGATACTCCCACCTGGTCATCAATTTCATATGTTGAATTTGGACTTATAACTGATGCAGCAGCAACTTCGTCATCATTATAGTTCTTCTGTTCTGGTTCAGTTGTTGGTTCTGGTTTTCCAGCACCAAGACTATCTTCCTCACTTTCATAGCTTGACATGACAAAGGTTGCTTCAGGGGATTCAGATATGGCTTCACTAGCAACTACTGCATCATCACTAGCTTTCCTGTCATCCAAATCATTCTGAATATGGGTCTCGTGACTCTCATCAACGAAGACACCAACACTGGATGGATTGCCATCATCAGTATCCTCACTAATTCTACTTGCCTGGAACTCTTCACCGCTATTATCTTTGAATTCATTATCACCTAAAACATTCTCCTCTTGAACTGTGTCATTATGATTGTCAGAATCGATTGACATTTCTTCCTGTGTTGTTAAGGGCTCCATCTGCTGTTTAATTCCTGTGTACATGAACTTGCAAATTATGAATCTAACTAGCAAGAAGCTCTCAAAGGAAGATACCACTTCTGAACAGGATGTGCATTTTCTAAAGTCACGAGCAGTAAAATTATGCATCCAAACACACATTATAAATCATATACATATTATTCACTATTCAACATATTAGTTTACTCTATTGATTATTGGGCAATATCTCAAATATTAAGCTTCAGTGTAACCACTCTCCCCAAACATCACAGACTAATGATATCAATCTTTCAAAAGCAAAACGGGACTTGAAGGGGTCCATAATTGACAAGTCCCCAATACTTCGTGCAAGAAACCTCTTAATGCATACATGCCAAACTTAGGTCAACTCAAATTGTTCACATTGTCTACTTATCATACACATGATATTTTACAAATGTAATCAGGTTTTCCAGTCATCATTACTTGAAGAAACATTCCACCACTAACTTTTGACAGAAATCACTTGGTCGTCATAATTAGCAGAAAATACTGAACTCACTTGTTGAACTCCGTCTGCTTATTGACAATGCAGCAAAGGTAAGGCCAGACACAAGGATAATACCAGCTGCTCCTGCTCCCACCATCCCTGAAAATAAGCTACTTCAAAAGTGTTATCAGTCCGCAAAAGAACCAAAGACAGACCTGCTGTTTTAAAAAAATTACTATGCATTCTGCTGTCATTTGCACCTACTTCCCAATCTTCAATGCAGAGCCAGAAAATTAAACAGATTCCATTTGAAAAAATCACTATATGTCATGAACAATGCAGAATGCTTTCAGATATACGAGCTGTATCATATACAGATTTTCAATATCCATTTTGCAAATTTAAACCCCTTTTTTCCAATACTCAATATTTTATCTTAACAACAAATCAGATATTCCCCAAAACTATTTCTACATTTTCAACTGATACACACCATTACCAACTGACTAAGCCTCAATTCAAACTAAATAATATCGTCTATTATAACGCACTCACCAGCGATGGACTTCTTCCCCTGTGAGTCACTAGGTTTCTCAGCACCATCAGCTCCAGACCATCCAGAGAAGCCATCTGCTGAAGCAGTCGAATTTACACCTCCTGCACTTGTTTTTTCCACTCCACCATTTGACACACTATTCATAGTAATCGAAACCAAACGAACCCCACGATAATCCAGCTTGCCGACACGCATTCCTGCAAAAACTGCCGACGGCTTTTTGCTTCTGAATGCTAACCGAAGCTGAAAAGAGTTTGGACACCATGTTGTAGTCAAAGTACTCATTTTTTTTTTGAAATTTCAACAAAATCCCCCAATTGATAATTAGGGTTTATAATAGTAATGATTGAGGTTTATCAATAATGCTTCAAATGATTATCTTCCCTAATTTGCCTCTGCATATATGAAAAAACTGAATAAGATACAATTACAGAAATTGTGTTAAGAACTTTGGAAGTGAGAAAATTTAGGGTTTATGGAGAAAGAGAGTACTTTTCACCATCCCTTTGTTTTATCTTATCTTTATTATATACCAAAGTTTTTGTATTTTCTTTTTTTCCTATTCTTAGTGCTACAGCTATGTATAAAAGCTGCTAGCGGAGACTAACTGAATTACCAGTTACTGGTTATACGCTTTCATTTGTTGAAATACGAGGCGTAGCATTTCTGCAATCCTGAAAATATACTTTGTTCCGTATTTGTTGTCGAGATTATTAAAAATACTTTTAATGTCAATATTATTAAAACTGTTATTCTCAAAATACTTGTCAATTCACAAAATTTAAATAGAATTAATGATTTTTTTTTTTCATTTTGCCTTGTCAATGTATTAAAGATGTTATTCTCAAAATACTTGACAATGTATTAAAGGATATGTAAAAGAAAAACGTAACAACTAATATGGAACGAGAAAGTACTTGTCATTTCACAAAATCAAAATGAAATCAATTAAATTAGTGGATTGATAATTAATTAGATTTAAAGGAAGTTTCATGAGATAGAGTCTCAAGATAACAATTTTGATAAGTTTTTTTATTTTATTAGTAGAGCATATCAAGCAACTAAAAGAACGACAAAGAACCAAAATCAATGTGTATATAATTATAAAAAACAAAATTTCTTGAAATGGTGTGAGAGAGACATGACAACCATGCCAAAGGTAGGCAACAAAAAATATTATTTCCTTTGGAATGGAGTGATGCTAATTGATTTGGATCTATAGTATCTGAAAGACTTTTGAGTTATAATCATGTCATTTTTGCACCATCACGTCTCCTTTTTATATATTGTTACAAACAATCTAGACAGTACAAAAGAATTCTTAGCATGAAAGTCTATACAACTGAAACTCTATCTAAAATTAGTATTTTGATAATCCTTTGATTGTTAATCCAAATGGCTAAATCATTTATGCACTGGCCCATCTTACCTAATGTTTGGTTCAGCAAACGAATAGTTGGATCATAAGTGAAGTAGACATAATAATATAGTTGCATTAATTTTGTCAACATTCTTTAGATTTATTAAATAAAAAACCTGTTGCATGGGAATTGTTAAACCAAAACCTCTGTAGTATACTTGTTCCTAGACTCAAAAAATTAAAAGAAACGACAAAGTTTTCAACAAAACATTTCAACTAGAGATGCAAGTTTTTTATGGTAAAAATTTCTAAATTCAGCTCTGTTTTTCAATTCTAAAATACGCCCAGACTCCAGACTAGTGATTCTTTATTTGCAAAAGAGTAATTCTAAATTTTCGTTAACTTTCATTAGCGTAAATACAGCAGCCTACATTGCCTGCAGGAAATTCTAACAATTGTGACCTTTTCGAAACCAAAGAGACGATAAGTTACAAATAACTAGAAAAACAGCCACAGTCAAGACTCAAGAGCAACAAAAGAGGGACAAAAAGGAAAACTGCATTATGGTTACAAGTACAAAAAGCTACTCTCTTCTTCAGATTTAGAGGGAGTAAAAATGTGAATATAGGTACTCTCGAATTTTATAGTACTCCTCCGATAATGGACCTTCAAGCACAATCTGCTGAATAGCTGCACCTCCAACCTACAAGAAATTTTCAAACAGAAGTTTAGTATGTCAAGAAAAAGGCTTCATTTTGCTAGTAATATGAAGAACACTTGAGGTATTATCAAAAATGACAACCTTTTGACTAGCATCTCCGACTTTGCGAATGGTCACATACTCTCCGCAACGTAAAGCCCCACCACCAAATTCTACCTGAAAATGAAATTAGTTAGTCTTAACATTTTGCTAACCTAAAACCAAATCATGATTAGTAGTAGAAAATATAGCATAAAAGAAAAGAGAAGAAAAATGAAAAGACCTGAACGCCCTTGCTGGCAAGAAACTGCTTGAAATCAGACATTTTTAAATCTCCGACGAGAACTGTTTTATGGGGTGGAGCAGGTCCGGAAAGAGGAAGTAAAGAGAACATGTCGTTTTCTGTCTTCCCCACTTCAGCATCAACCCATGCTATTTCATAGTCTCCAAGCTACAATTGCAAATGTAAACACAATTAAGCGGGGACAAAAGGAAAACAGAGACACAATAATGATCAAGATTAGTCTTTGTACGCAGCTTCCTGATCAAATGGAGCATCAAGTCTTACACACCAAAGACTTTAGTACAAACACTTCAACTATCTATACCCATTTTAGTGTATGGAGTGTACAGAGCCCCAGCATTCGAGAACAAAAAGATAGCAACTGAACTGCAAGTGTCAAAACTTTTAAGAAAGAGTACCTTGATAAAAACTTCATCAATTCATTAATACAACACATGAAAGGTGATTGACACAAGTGTGCTTAGGTAACTTTTTGTTTTAATTGGATGTGCATAAATTACTAACTCCAGCTGCTTCTATAAATGCATCAAGATAGTTCTTAGTTCACGTAAAGTGGCAGAAATTTCGTAAAGGAATCATTTATTCACGTCGTAACCATAATATATCCAGCTTACCTTCTTAAAAAGCACTTGGCTCATTAACTTCTCAGAAAGTTGGACCTATCATGGAAGCAAACATAGACCAAGGATGTTATACTGGTAACTTTGTTTACAAAGGTATAAACCACAAAAGGCACATATAAAGAAAGTAGACTAACCTTATAAGCACACAAATCTGAAGTCACATCAATTATTTCTTCCAACTGGGGAGCATATACCTGCGGACAAACATGTTTCAGACAATGTTGCTTCAAATGTTCAGTGGCTTCAGCTGATCCATGCACCAATACCTATAAAACAGAATAGCTATTAAAACAAGTCAACTAGTTGAAATTGAAAGAACTAATTGTTTCACTGTTGAAGAAGAAAAGAAGGACATGGATAGACTAATTTATAGGAAAACAGGCAGAAAGTTCAGTTAATGAATATTATATAGGTGTCAAAAGCAGAAAGATATAAACATCAGTATCCAAAAATGACCATTTATCTGCTATTTAAACTGCTAATAAAAAAATACCAACTTCAATTAGGAAAATAGTGAACCAGGAGAAGTTGTAGTCAGCATGAACTAAGTGATCCTTGATATTAAAGGATACAAGTCATTACTCTATTGAGCATTGTGAACACTGAACAACATAGTAATCAGCTAATATTAGACCCTCTATCATTTTATTTTTTTTGATGACCGTGGTGCCCAGGACAGATTTCGCGCACCTCAACTAATTCCACGGGATACTTACCACCTCCCACCAACAACAAGTACCAGATAACTCTGTCCACCAAGGCAGGACAAATGGGAAGATTCAACTAATGTTTTTTGTCTTCGTTGAGTTTTGACCCTAAGACCTCAAGGTTCTCAACCACTTCATTGACCACTAGGCCACACCCTTGGCTGCACCCTCTATCATAATTCGATGCATCACTTTTTTTTCAAATGGAGGATGGAATGGATTCAATTAGCCCTCGCAGATGCTATTGCCATTGCGTCCACAACTGTAACTCTCATTTCCAGTAAGTTTCAGACTAAGGATAATCAGTCATCATTTCAGCTTTAAAAGTGAAAATTTAAAAAAAAACTAAAATCAGTCTTTGCAGGAAATTTAAGTCAATTATGCGAGACTATCAAAAACTTCGACTCAAATTGTTTGCAATACAACATTGGTGAAAAAGATATCCTTTGCTTCTTTAAGTAAAAAAGTAGCTACGAGTGGCACTGAGGTGAAAAAGATATCCTTTGCATCTACGATAATAGCTTGGTCAATAGCAATGAACACTTGATATATGTGAGCTATAGGTCTTCTTCTTTTTTGCTTTCCACTTCCCTCAGCAGATAGAGAACAAAGGCCAGCAAGGTCAGTTGACTCACCGGGAAAGGTTGGATAGAAATGCTTTTCTTTTTCCTCTAAAGGTGGCAAAGTGGGGGTTGGAGGAAACAAACATAATTTTCTTCTTAAGTAGTTTAATAATGTCCAAAAAACTCTCTGCCAATGTATGTTAGTGTTCCACAAGTCTTTTGGCTAAGAAATAAAAATTTAACTTATAAGGATGAAGCTATACCACAGAGAACTAGCTGTCCTCAACCTTATGGAAGTGTTAGATCAGAAGAATAGAGTCCCCAGTTTTACTAAAAACAAGGCATTCTCCGGTCCCACAGGTATAAAGATGCAATATCCTCTTATTTTTTAAGAAAAACCAATGAATCACCAAAATATTTCAGGAGGAAGATTGGCCATGGAAGATGATCCGGAAAATCAAAAGTTCCTTATAAAGTGAACTGTTTTACTTGGCTTCTGGTTAAGGAAGCAGTATTGACACATGAGAACTTGAATAAGAGAGACTTTCAACTATGCTCTACATTTTTCCTATCTAGGGAACAAGCTGAGACAATCAACCATCTGTTTTTACATTGTATGTGGACAGACCAGTTGTGGAAGATGTTCGTCTGTCTGATGAAGATTAGGTGGGTGAAGCCAGGGAACATAAAAGGAGTGTTAAGCTGCTGGAACAAGGATGTCAAGGCAGCAAAAAAAGAAGAGAGATGAAAGATTTTCCTTGCATGTATTTGGTGGACAGTACGGAAAGAAAGAAACAGTAGATGTTTTGAGGACAAGCAGAGCAACTTGCAGAAGTTTAAAATGAATTGCTTAGCTCTATTTTATTTTTGGTGAAAACAGAAACTATTAGATCAAACAGAAGATATCTGTGATGTTGTAGATTATTTATAGGAAAACAATAGATAGGTGTTCAAGTTGTAAGTTGTAGTAATACTTGTGAAAGGGGACTACATATTTTGATGTAGTATACCTGTGGATATATAGATTAATTGTTCACATTATCGAAAAAAGATCAGATCACTTTACTGGAAAATCTTTCTTCAGGTTAGAAGAAAGCCTATTATCCAACTATGCCAAAAATATATTCAGAGCATGCATGAGGAATATATTTTTTCCTTTGAATACTAGTTGATTAAGAAAAGCCTGAAAGCGTGTGAATATATGTCATAGATGCAAATTTATCAAC